GACACACACCGACTCCTATTAATTCCAATGTAATCTTGATTGAATGTAAGTATAAAATATTTTTTATATTTTATATTTGTATATTTTTCATTTAATCTTATTTATTTTAATATTTTTATATTTATATTATATTTTAGCATTTTTTAAAGATTTTATTTATTTGACAGAGAGATCACAAGTAGGCAGAAAGGCAGGCAGAGAGAGAGGGAGAAGCAGACTCCCCGCCGAGCAGAGAGCCGGATGCGGGGCTCAATCCCAGAATCCTGAGACCATGACCTGAGCCTAAGGCAGAGGCTTAACCCACTGAGCCACCCAGGTGCCCCAAACTTAGCATTTTTTGCAACAAGTTTCATATTACAGTTTCACATAATTCTGTACACAGGTTGGTGCCATTCTTCTATTCTTCTTTGTTCAATGGGCTTTTACTCCCATGCTTTGCATGCACTAAAGTTATAGAAGAGTCTCTGAGAAAGCAGGCTGTGTATTTACATTGCTTTCTTCCTTTCTTCCTCATGGAGAAATCACAGAGTCAGAATTTATTTTTGGTCTTAAACTCCTGAGCTGCATTCCCTTTAAGAATTTTCTGCCATGGCATCAGGGAAATACAAATCAAAACCACAATGAGATATCACCTCACACCAGTCAGAATGGCTAAAATTAACAAGTCAGGAAATGACAGATGCTGGCGAGGATGCGGAGAAAGGGGAACCCTCCTACACTGTTGGTGGGAATGCAAGCTGGTGCAACCACTCTGGAAAACAGCATGGAGGTTCCTCAAAATGTTGAAAATAGAACTACCCTATGACCCAGCAATTGCACTACTGGGTATTTACCCTAAAGATACAAACGTAGTGATCCGAAGGGGCATGTGCACCCGAAAGTTTATAGCAGTAATGTCTACAATAGCCAAGCTATGGAAAGAACCTAGATATCCATCAACAGGTGAATGGATAAAGAAGATGTGGTATATATACACAATGGAATACTATGCAGCCATCAAAAGAAATGAAATCTTGTCATTTGTGACGACGTCGATGGAACTAGAGGGTATCATGCTTAGCGAAATAAGTCAATCAGAGAAAGACAACTATCATATGATCTCCCTGATATGAGGAAGTGGAGATGCAACATGGGGGGTTAAGGGGGTAGGAAAAGAATAAATGAAACAAGATGGGATTGGGAGGGAGACAAACCATAAGTGACTCTTAATCTCACAAAACAAACTGACGGTTGCTGGGGGGAGGGGGGTTGGGAGAAGGGGGGTGGCGTTATGGACATTGGGGAGGGTATATGCTATGGTGAGTGCTGTGAAGTGTGTAAACCTGGCGATTCATAGACCTGTACCCCTGGGGATAAAAATATATGTTTATAAAAAATAAAAAATAAATAAAATATTTAAAAAAAAAGAATTTTCTGCCATGGAATCATATTTTTCCTGCACCTCAATCTCAGACTTTCTAAACTTGAACTACGTTCAACTTACTTTTTTTCTGATGACCATCCAGGAACACCTTTCTCCTGGGGTACCATGTCCTTGCTTGAAAGCCTCAGGATCAGAGTTGAAATATCTCTGGTCATTTCAACTCTTTGGGAAATGAAATAATGTATTTAGCCACAAATTAATAAAAAATTTTTTTAGCTAAATGAGACACTTAGGAAATGTCCAAATATTTGAAGCTATCTCATTACTTTTTCTTATTCTTCCCCACCAAATCCTCCCTATTTATTCCCTTAGGAATACATTAACCATGTTGTGCTACAATCTCTAGCGTACTTCCTTTATAACCCACATTCCGTGTTAGTACGTAAAACATCTGAGATTGTGGGAAATTTTATTTATTTTAAGATTTTATTTATTTATTTGACAGACAGAGATCACAAGTAGGCAGAGAGGCAGGCAGAGAAAGAGAGGGGGACGCAGGCTCCCTGCCGAGCAGAGAGCCCGATGCATGGCTCGATCCCAGGACCCTGGGATCACAACCTGAGCCGAAGGCAGAGGCTTTAAACATTGAGCCACCCAGGTGCCCCTTATTTATTTTTTTAAAGATTTTTTTTTGGTAAGGAATTTCTATACTCGATGTAGGGCTCAAACTTACAACTCTGAGATCAAGAGTTGCATGTTGACCTACTGAGGCAGCCAGGCTCCCCCTCAGTTATTACTTTAATTGAAATGATTTGGCACTGCCCTTGCACTGTCATTCTCGTTTCTACATGACTTAAGTGAGAATTGTTTGCCTGTAAGAAATAGGTAACTACCCAAACCAACTGAAACCAAAACTGGGATACTTAAGGAAAGATACAGTGTGGTAGGTCATAGGATATGTGACTAGGGAGAACGGCTGGGCTCCACAGGGAACTCATCTGACAACTGGACATTTGGAATTGATATTACTCTGTGCTCTTTTGAACTCGGGGTGCATTTGCACCATCCTCTAGCTTTTGCAGCCCACCGTTCTCTGCGTCAGCAAGCATAAGGCAATCTATGGTGATCTTATCTCCAGGGGACATAACCCTCCAGATCAAGTGCTCAAGCACCGAGACTCCGTTGTAATACTCCTACCTCAAACTCTTTTCTGAATCGTATTGCCTTCAATGCCATATGGCTTATTTTCTTTTGTGTCGCAAGCATTTGGAGCTGGAGAGGAAGAGGTCACGTGATACAGACTGGGGAAAATAGCTTTTCTAAGAAGCTCACATCTAAGAAGTGTGTGAGGGCAGAGTAGAAATGATTTGGAACTGCCATGTTAGAATTGCCATCTCCAACCCTGATTATTGCCATAGGTTTATTTCTGTTTTTAATTTCCTCTGCAATTACATTAAGTACTTTCCAGCTAAATACAATCTTAATACTTCTTTCCAAAGTACACTTCCATCTTAGACATAAGTCTTTAATTCCAGTATTTCAAACCATGGTTTAGAACTTAAATTTTATTCATTGATATCTCCCATATCCTTCTCTTCCTCCCAAAGGGCATTAATGAAAACATCCCCTATAATCTCAAAAGTTTCAGTTTCCTTCCAGTGATGTTATTATCTTAAAGATACTCCCCAGTGTCCCTATAGGAATCACCATGATTGGGTAATGGGCTTGGGCATATGCTTGAGGAAGATAGCAATACTAGTTTCTTTGTTCTGCTGTGGCTACTCCTCTAACTAAGCTCCATCCCAGGGAACTACAACACCAAGGTATATTCCTTCCTACCAAGGTCAGTATTTGATATCCTTGAACTACGGGGGCTGTTCAGTTCCTTTCCAGCATTTTTTCCTTCCTCAAGGAGGGTCTAGGCACTGCTCTTCCTCCCTTCACTGGGAAGCACATCCTTAATGTGCATTGCCAGTAGGCCAGCATTGTCTTTTACTTCTCTCTGTCACATTCTTATCCTCTTTATTCTATGGATTCTGGTTTTGATTCTACTCTCTTTCATATTCTTCTGTGGTGCTTGAGATAAAATCATTTTTCTAGAACGTCTGGATTTACCTTTGGGGAAGCTCATACCTATTGTGTATATATTTTTAGTCCAATAAAATTTCTTCTTCAATTGACCTTTGCTTTCTCATTTTCCTTTTCATTTATTCCTATCTGTGTTATTGAATCAAGTTCTGACCCGCTTTACCTTTAAAGTCAAGATCTTGTACTTTTTAGTTTTTCTGTTAATCCTATTTTATTGGAATTATTTATAGTCAGATGCTTTCTGTGAGGATAAAACATATTTTTCAAACCTCTTCATACATTCAAACATATAAGCTAGCTAGCTAATATTCAACATCCCGTTAGCTTATCTTTGCTTCTGACAGTGAGATAAACTCAATTTTTTCTCTGCTTTTCATTGGGCAGGTGTCATTATGTTCCATGAGTTTTGGTTGGTGTTAAGACATCATATATTGGGGCACCTGGGTGGCTCAGTAGATTAAACCACTACCTTAGGCTCAGGTCATGATCCCAGGGTCCTGGAATCGAGCCCCACATTGGGCTCTCTGCTCAGCAGGAGGCCTGCTTCTGCCTGCTCTCTGCCTACTTGTGATCTCTTTGTCTCTCTGGCAAATAAATAAAATCTTTAAAAAAAAAAGACATCATATATATATTATCCTATTTTGCATCATTTTATTTTATTGTGTCTTGGAATAGAAGTAAAGAGCATAGCCTTAGAGAGCAGATAGACCTCTATAATATTGGGCAATTTACTGAAGCTTTGTAGGCTTCAGTTTCCTTGTCAGTAAAATGGGGATATAATAATTTCTATTGCATAGCATCATGATGAAGATCAAGTAAGAAAATATGGGTTGACTGTTCACTACATAGTAAATGCTCAATAAATGCTGGCCTTAGTTACTGTTATGATTACTCTTGTTAGATTATAATTTTCTTGAAATTGGGAACCGCATTTCAAGTTTTATTAAGGAACTAGTTCTTAATACAAATTTATTACTGTTTATTCATAGCACAGTTGTATTTAGTGACCAGAACTCCCCAAATGAAGCACACTGGAATGAAGATTGTTAGGTTTGATTATGATTTATTTATGTTACTCTTCTTTATTTACTCCCAAGTTGGTAGGTTGTTTCACTTCTTCCTCCTAATCTGACTTAAAAACATTTTTTTTTGAAAATGTTTATTATTTCCATGTCGCAGATGAGAAAAGCAAAGCTCCGAGAGTTCAAGTAAATGGCCTAAGATCATAAGATGAGTAAGGAGCAGCAGCAAGAACAACAAATAAGACTCAACCATAAACCAGTGAAAAGAACTTTAAGAAGAATGTGACTAAATAGTATGAGATACATAGAGAAATTTTTTTTTCCTTCAACAAAGAATGAGAAGAGTCAGGAAATCTTTGTGAAGGAGGTGCAATTAATCTAGGAGATAACCTGTTGATCTACGAACAACAGAGAATATTTTTTCTTCCACTCCATCCATTCTCACTTTAGTAATGTATAATCATTTATGTTTATGACATATAAATAGAAAGTAGATAAATTGCCACTAAGTGGAAGATAAAATGGTAAACATGGTAGAAAAGCATTTTATTTGATGATATGTGGAGTACAGCTACATTCACAGGCTTTTGATATATAATGGGTCTTATGGAAGAAGACTCATTGTCAGCAGTGAAAATGATAGTACTTATGTCCTTTCACCAAGTTTAGTTACAGTGCTCATAATACAAAACCAGTCCTTGAAATGCATGGTAAATAAGCTGATTCTGGGTACAAATGAACCCTCCACTTCTGAAGGCTTGGTATGGGCTCCGATTTAGGTCTCCAATACAGGTCCAGCGATTTTTGGTCCTCTTTTGGGAAACACACCATTTGGCATGATCCTGGTAAGAACTGAAATAAGACTGTCCAGATATCTTAATTGCTTTGACATTGTAGACGTGGTAAGGAAGGGAGCAGTTTGAAGGAAGCTCTTGTCTCTTTCGCTGCCAGGTTTCTGTTAGCAAGTGTGTCTTCAAATGTTGAGCCATCCAGGCTGCAAAGATGTCTAGAATTTATAGGGAGAAAGATAGCAAGGCTAGTATTTGTACTTAGATAAGTCCCTGAAAATATCCTCAGCAATGGAACTCATCATTCACCCCTGATATGTGAATGTCATAAGCACAATAATAACAACATAATTGAGATAGTGGACGGGAGAACATTTTGTAAGTGCTAAAGTGATATGTAAATAAAAGTTATTATCCTTATTACTAAGATGACATTAGTGTTTAAAAATGTCCTCTGTTCCACACAAATAAGAGAGTAATATATGTTTTTGTTCTGAAAAGATCTTCAGAAAGAATAAAGCTAGAGAAGTAACCAGGGGCCAGCTTCAAGGGATCTTTGCAAATCATGCCAAAATGTTTGGGTTTTCCTGAAATCACTGGGGCTATTTATTTATTTAGAGTGAGCAGAGGGGAGGGAGAGGGGAAGACAGAGAATCTTAAGCAGACTCTATTCTGAGCCTAGTGCAGGGCTCAATCCCATGACCCTGAGATCATGACCTGAGCTGAAATCAAGAGTCAGACACTTAACCAACTGAGCGACCCAGGCACCCCTCAATGGGGGAGTTTTTAAAGAAGTGTTAATGGAGAATTAATAGAAACTTGTTTATGATCATAAATATCAATCAAGAGGCAATGCAGAGGATGAACCGTGACAGGTGCATTAGATTGGAGATAGGGAAAACATCAGGTTGTCACAATAACTGTGACAATATACACAGGTGGGACTGTAGCAGTGGCCGAAAGTTTGGAGAGGAAAAGATGAATGTGAGTGTTACTAAGGACCTGGAGCTGATTGAATTTGATGACTTGATAGAGGGGTGAGGAAAAAGGAGGGATCTAGAGTCCCCAGTTGACTATGCAGAATACAAGAAAAAGAGTGGATTTGTGGGGGATAATGATGAGTTTGGCATGTTGAATTTGATGTGGCTGTACCACCTCCAAGTAGAAATGTCCCACCCACTTTTGAATACATCTGTCAGTCCAGAGATCTGGGGTGCAGATCTAGTCTTGGGAATCACCTGAAGGCTTGCTGGAAATCGCCTAGAGTAAGTATGTAGAATGAGATAAGGATGAGTAGAGAACCACGTGGCAACTCAGCCACCTAAGTAGTAGGCAGAGGAGGAGGACCTGGCAGAAGAGACTTAAGAGAAGTGGGAAGAAGACCAAGAGACTATACACTCCCAAAAATCAGGGAGGGGGAGTGTTTCAGGAAGGAAAGGGTTTTAACAGTGCCAGATTCTGCAGAGACTATTTCTGTCCTGTTAATTTTTGGATCTCTATCTGGTGCCTAACACAGAGCTTAGCAAGTGGCAGGCATTCAGTGAATTTTATCTAATATAAAAGGAAGGAAGGAAGCAAAAAGGGAAGACAGTGAGGTCAACTAAGAGAGTCATTGGTGACTGCGGAGAGACTGGTGTCTACAGACAGAGGCTCAAGGCTGCAGTGAAGGAGCATTGATCCACTGAAGGCTCTGAAGAGTCCTTTAAAAAGAAATCTGGAAGAAAAGAAGAAACAGATATAGGGGATCTAGAACTGAGGGAAGGTTTTTGGGGATGTTTGTGGGCTAAGGGGACAGAGCTTATAGAGTGGGCCTGTTGACGTAGAAGAGGGAGAACAGATCAAGTGGATGAATCAAGGTATTCTGAGGCTGGGATGGGTTCCAAGGCACAAGGGGTGCACTTCTTCTGTTGGGGTAGAAGAAAACTCGTGAAAAGGGATGGAAACAGATAAGATTATTGAGAGTAGGTGTGTTCTTTTTGTTGTTGTTGTTGTTAGCTATTTTTAAAAATGGAAGTATAGCTGACACAAAGTGTTACATTAGTTTTAGGTATAAAACACAGTGATCTGACAACTCCATTCTTCATTTTATGCGGACCACAGTGGAGCTACCATCTGTTACCGTACTAGCTATTGTATCATCGACTACATTCCCCAGGAATGTAGTGACTTATTCATTCATCCCTGTGCCTTATTCATTCCATAACTGGAAACCTGTACCTCCCACTCACTTACACCCATTTGCCCATCCCTCCACCCACTCCCCTCTGGGAATCATCAGTTTGTCCTATGTATTTATGGGTCCATTTCTGCCTTTATTCAGGAGGGGAGGGGTTTGTTCATTTGTTTTGTTTTTAAATTCCACAAATAAGTGAAATCATATGCTTTTAAAATTCCACATATAAGTGAAATCATTATCTTCCTCTGTCTGACTTATTTCACTTAGCATAATACCCTCTAGGTCCATCCATTTTGTCACAGATGGTAAGATCTCATTCTTTTTTTTTTTTTTAAGATTTTATTTATTTGACAGAGAGAAATCACAAGTAGGCAGAGAGGCAGGCAGAGAGAGAGGAGGAAGCAGGCTCCCCGCGGAGCAGAGAGCCCGACGCGGGGCTCGATCCCAGGACCCTGAGATCATGACCCGAGCCGAAGGCAGAGGCTTTAACCCACTGAGCCACCCAGGCGCCCCAGATCTCATTCTTTTTTTTTTTTTTTTTAAAGATTTTATTTATTTATTTGACAGATGGAGATCACAAGTAGGCAGAGAAGCAGGCAGAGAAGCAGGCAGAGAGAGAGGAGGAAGCAGGCTCCCTGCTGAGCAGAGAGCCGGATGCGGGGCTCGATCCCAGGACCCTGAGATCATGACCTGAGCCGAAGGCAGAGGCTTTAACCCACTGAGCCACCCAGGCGCCCCGATCTCATTCTTTTTAATGCCTGAGTAATATTCCATTGTATATATATACCACATCTTCTTTATTCATTCATCTGTTGATGAACACTTGGGTTTCTTCTGTATCTTAGCTACTGTAAATAATGCTGCAATAAACAAAGGGCTGCACATATCTTTCTGAATTAGTGTTTTTGTTTTCTTTGAGTAAATACCCAGTAGTGGAATTATAGAATCATGTGATATTTCTGTTTTTAATTTTTTGAGGAACCTCCATACTGTTTTTGGTGGGGTTTGTTCTTGAAGGGGTTTCTCCTTGGTGATCTCTGTTCTCTCTATGAAGGAGAAATCAAAGCCAGAAATGAGGCGGCAGAGTCATGTAATGGACTTGAGGGTAAAGAAGGTTTTAAATAGCTGCTTAGAGAATAGAAAAAGAAGGAGACAGCTGGGCCTGCAGCCCAGAGGCTGCAGACTGTGAGTTTTCACTGGCCCCTGGTTGGATGGTTGTGAGATATTGTAAGATATTTTGGCGGTTGGATCAGGAATTTTGCTATTCAAGCAGAGTAAGCAAATGTTTGAACTGATCCAATCTCCCTTTTCCCTCCCTTCTCTTCTACTTCCCTACCCCTGAATAATCAGAGTATTTCCTCTGTATAATCCAGAGTGAGTCCAACAGCAAAGTTACATATGATTGGATCATGATCTTTCATACCATCAAGGAAAGAATCCGACTTTGCAAAATGGAGGAATTTTTGGCCCCGGGCTGACTGAAGTGCGGTGAGGTGCCGGCCAGGGATCTCTGACGAGCTGGAACCAGAGCACAGCTGGGGCATGTGAACGAGCTCCTGGTGAAAGATGGCAGGGATGGAACAGCTATAAATGTTTGGGTTATAGATCAAGAGCTGAGAATCTGAATCAAGAAACAGAAAGAAAAGTTGAGAATTAGGACACAGATGGAAATGCTTGTTAATATTATAGATCTTGCTTTGAGTTAAAAAAAACAAAGCAAAACAAAAACAAGAGTATTCCCTTCTTGAAACCAATAGCTTTCAAATTACTCTTGGTTAAAGTAGTTGACACCTATTGAGTACTTCCTACTTCCCAGGCATTGTCCTATGGGTTTTACATGTTTTTAATTCAATCCTAACAATAACCATATTATTAAGTAAGTTCTTTTATCATTACCTTCATTTTACAGATGAATTAATGGAGAATTTATGTTGCATGCACAGGGTGATAAAGCTCATAACTGATGGAGTTGATATTCAAATCCAGGCAGTCTGACATCGGAGGCGATATGGTCCTTTCTCATATATGTACATATGTAAAAGTAGAGACCTCCCGTGAACTGATCATCCAGCTTAAAGAATGGTTAGCTCGGGGCGCCTGGGTGGCTCAGTGGGTTAAGCCTCTGCCTTTGGCTCAGGTCATGATCTCAGGGTCCTGGGATTGAGCCCCGCATCCGGCTCTCTGCTCAGCCGGGGGCCTGCTTCCCCCTCTCTCTCTGTCTGCCTCTCTGACTACTTGTGATCTCTCTCTCTGTGTCTAATAGATAAATAAAATCTTAAAAAAAAAAAAAAGAATGGTTAGCTCATCAGCATGTACACCTAATCTCTGTGCTATTCTTCTCTCTAATCATTACTGGGACTCAAGTAGTTAAACTAGGACTTTGAGTGAGAGCCTCAGTAATCCTTGGCATAAGGTGGAAATTTGATGAAAAACATGTTCTAAACCTTCTATACTTAGAGGTAAATCACTCTTTACTACAATTTAGCAGCCTCCTCAGTAAAAAGAGATTGGTAAAACAGCGTTCCTCCTTCTCCTCCTCCCTCAGCTTAGTTTTCCAAATCCATATCCGTAGTTTTCACTTCCAAATCCAAGTATTTTTGGCCACTTGACCTTGGGATCTCAAAGGAAGATCCCATGGCTTGGAGCTGTCCGGTTGGTGGCCTGCAGGTAACATGTAATCTGCACAATTATTTTTTTTAATAAGATTGAGACCATGCTGTCTTTCCCACTCTCTCCCATCCTCCATCCCTAGGTGTCTAGTTTGTCTTGAAAAATATGGAGATCTGGTATCGTTAGGTCTGCTTTCCTGCAGAGCCACATGGCAGAGATGAGGCTTTGGAGGGGAGACTTAACACTCCAGTTTATCACCGATCCCACTGCCCATGAAGTGTTGCTCATCTGTTTCACCCATTTTTGTTACCAGCCTGGCCACTGCAGATATTTGAAAACACTACCCCGATCAATTTCAAGGACATCACTGGCAGATCAGAAAACAAAGGTCTAGTGAGTGAAACAGCTCAAGGTCTCACCATGGCAATGTCAATATTAGAATCTAGTAGAATCCAGGTGTCAGAGTGTTAATGAATAGAGAAATAGATGAAGTAATACATTTATTAATACATTTCCAAATCCTTTCTTTAACATAGCTATCTCTTTTTTAAACATACTCTAGTGTTACCTATTGCTTCATACTGGTTGTACTTAAAAGTTACGCAGATGCCAGTTTGCCCGTGTCTTCTTCCTGTGGGTGGATAATCATAGCCTTCTTCAGGAGTTGGAGGAAACCGGGGAATAGAATGAATCAGCCAGAGTCCCTGGACTCTGTTCCACAGCAGTAAGCCTACCAAAAATACAGTTAATACAGATACATTAGAAAAACAAAATCTCCATTGAACAATAGGGTTCAAAGCTGCAACGTTTAAGCCCATTTATATTTCAGGCCAATGTTTTATTCCATTAATAAGCACAAAGATTTCTGCTTGTTTTTCAAAGATTTCAAAACCAATTCGGGCACACATCACCCAGCCCCATTACTGATAAGAAGCCACCAAAGAGGCAGCCAGGGCAGCCAACCTATGAGGAGCTAAGAGGAATTTCATGTTGTAACCATAAGGAGAATTTGTTTTGGCAGAATGCAAATGTGCTTAATTGGAATTTGACCTTGTTAAACTATATAGTCACCTGGCAAGCTTCAGATAATGAGTCTCTGTACTGCTAAGCAGCTAAGCTATTTTCAAAAGCTGGCTAAAAAAGAGTTGGAGGAGAAAAATATCAAACAGAGAAATGTACCTGTAGTAATTTGTTGTAAGAAACCAATGCACCTTTAACTGTAGAAGACTAGTCAATTCCACAAGCCCAGAAACAAGAGATAAAGAGAATTAAAAGAGAAGCCATGACAAAACATCCCAGGTAATTGTGTTTAGTGAAGATTTGTGGAGCAAAATAACATGAAAACCGGAAAGAAAGGAAACAGAAAGATTTTCATCATCTTGTGACATGGCAAAATGAATCCTATCCAATAGGCATCTGTGATGATTTCTGTGTTTATAAATAAATTGGGATAGTTTTGGTATACTGACTAGACTTTCCACTTTGCATATGACCATGCAAATATAAAGCTATTCATGTTTGTCTTATTGTTAGAATGGAAATCAAGTGCCTGTCTGTTATTTCTTTTGCAAAGAACACACTTTAAGAAAGAACACTATTGGTCTTTCAGTGGATATAGAATCATTCCCTGTGTCCAGGTGGAAAATGTATGTCCAAAGTCCTTTTGCCTAACAGACCTGGATGACCTTCAGAAGCTTCCTTCTGCCCAGATGAGTGAGCTGTTTGCCTGAAATCCTAAGCCCCCGGTACCCATGCCACAGGATGTCAGGCATCTGTTGGCAAAGAGAACACCCCCTCCGGACATGGGGTCCTATTCCTTTTCCAGTCTTTCTCCCAAATCCTTTTAGTTGCTAGGTGGAGTGAGAATGGTGGTTGAGGGTTGTTGGAGGAGAGGTTGGAGAATGTGATGTATTATAAAAATTGCTGCATTCCATGCTAATAGGACCATCAGGAGGGCATCTTGGCTAAATCAAAAGCTTTCAACACCCATGACATTTGACAGCCATTACAAATTATATTCTTAATCAGAGGTTGCAAAGTAGCAACCCAGTGGCCAAATCTAGCCTGCAGATACATATTACTATGCTCACAGAGTATTTTTAAGACTTTGAGCTCATTGCCAACATTTAAACACCGGGGGAAATTTCCACAAATACTAATTTTCAACATCTCCTGAAAAATTGCATCCCCTAAAGGCAAGCTGAGTACTATCTGCCCTTTTGACAAAGTATGCACCTTCCAGTTCTTCAGGGACCTGCTAGTTCAGCCCACCTGGCTTGCTGACATCCATTTCCCTGCCCCTGAAGGCATGAGTTTGGGACCTTCTGAAAAATGCTTGTTGCCATGGGAAATTATTCATGATGCATTAAGTTGAAAAGCAGTTGAAAATAGTCATTACAATTGTTTTATAAAAATGTTTTAAAATACATACTATAGAAAATGCAAGTAGAAAGGATTAATGTGATTATCTAATGGGTCTTAGGATTACAGATTTTTTTTGGCTGGCATTTTGAATTTTTATGTATATATATAGTTTATAAATAGAAAAACTATATATATAGTTTATAAATAGAAAAATAACATTTCCTATGATAAAAAATTATAATATATATAACAAAATTACCTAATATGAAAAATTTATTTAAAAATACTTTTCAGGGTGCCTGGGTGGCTCAGTGGGTTAAAGCCTCTGTCTTTGGCTCAGGTCATGATCTCAGGGTCCTGGGATTGAGCCCCGCATCCGGCTCTCTGCTCAGCCGGGGGCCTGCTTCCCCCTCTCTCTCTGTCTGCCTCTCTGACTACTTGTGATCTGTCTGTCAAATAAATAAATAAAAATCTTAAAAAAAATAAAAATACTTTTCAAAAATGTTTATTTCAAAAAGAACCATACACTAAGAAGATCGAATTTTATTCTATATCAATTATACCCCAATGAACCTGACTGAAACATGTGTGTACACACACACACACACACACACACACACACACACACACACACACACTGGGTGGTATTCCCAATATTCAATACTTGGATTTCTGCTACAGAGTGTGTATTTTTATTTTAATTTATTTTATTTTATTTTTTTAAAGACTTTATTTATTTATTTGACAGAGATCACAAGTAGACAGAGAGGCAGGCAGAGAGAGAGAGGAAGGGAAGCAGACTTCCCGCTGAGCAGAGAGCCCGATGTGGGGCTCCATCCCAGGACCCTGGGATCATGGCCCATGCCCAAGGCAGAGGCTTTAACCCACTGAGCCACCCAGGTGTCCCCAAAGTGTGTATTTTTAAATGTTAAGAAATAAAATGGGGGTGCCTGGGTGGCTCAATGGGTGTCCCCAAAGTGTGTATTTTTAAATGTTAAGAAATAAAATGGGGGTGCCTGGGTGGCTCAGTGGGTTAAAGCCTCTGCCTTGGGCATGGGCCATGATCCCAGGGTCCTGGGATGGAGCCCCACATCGGGCTCTCTGCTCAGCGGGAAGTCTGCTTCCCTTCCTCTCTCTCTCTGCCTGCCTCTCTGTCTACTTGTGATCTCTGTCTGTCAAATAAATAAATAAAATCTTAAAAAAAAAAAGAAAGAAAAAGAAATAAAATGGAATTTGTGAAAAGGAGATTTCCAAGTCATATGATATGATTATAACCTGTGATATAGAAATAATGCATTTTGATAACTCAAAATAAACCATTAAGAAGAAAAGCTATCTTTTTGGTGTGCAACATAAGAATATTCAAGAGAGAATGTTGAAGAGAATGTTGATTGCCAATAGGAAAGAGAAACTAACAGCTTTTGTCATACCTTTAGTGTGTCCATACTTCCGGCTATAATTCACAGAGGTAGGGGCCCCATCATTGTAGAGTAGATAGGCTGTGTTGTTATTCTGCAGAAACACACTAGGGTTATAACGGTGTCACTCTTACGCTTGTAAATGCTCACAACATTTCTACCAGCCACCCAGACTGCGATACAGAGCTTTCATTAGTACACATGAAAAGTCATCCATTCGCCTAACAGGAAGCTTCCCCATCAATACGAATTTTGTGCCACGAAAGACAGGGGAACAGGAAGCCCATTCTCAACCACGCACGGCTTTGTCTTATGTTCCAGGAACCCTACGCTTCCTGCTGTGTATGTGAGGGCAGTATTCCTATTTCTCTTGGTTGTTTTGGACACGCATTTCTCATTTGGCAACTGGTTTATAATAAAGAAGTACTTAAATATTTGGTCAGGAAATGAAGTAGGAACAACCAGCCAAGGTTTACACCTGGGTTTTTTTCCACTGATACTAGAGGCACAATGCGGAACTGGCTGTCAGGGTCTGGGTTCCTCTGCCTGCATTGTACTTCACCTCTTGGTCAGAGTTTTGTGTTTAATCAGGATTCTTCATTCTCTGCTCCCACTACTTCCCTGGAGGGGAGGATCTTCCTTCAATCTATTTCTCAGTGTCACTTCACCTTCTCGCCTGATATTTTCCTGCTTAGAAAAAGTGGTGAAATTGAATGTGTGGGGATATTGGATTTCCTCTGGTAAGGCAAAATAAGAGAAATTTTCTAAACAGTGGTCCAAATCTCTGAGTAAAAATGAAGCTATTATTTTGGTGGTGTCTCTTATGTCATGTTTTGGAAATGTGCTTATATTAGTTCTGTGTGATTCCATTTCATTGGTGTCATGATGTAGTGATTCTTACTGAAGCCAATAATGTTGATATTTTAAAAAAGTCTTGGGGACATAATTAAAAGCAATAAAGGACAACCCAGTTCCTCAATTAAAAAAAAAAAAGCCTCCTCGTTTTCTCTCAGAAAATAAGTCAATAACTGAGTTGCTTACAATTGCTTCATGATTTGATGTAATCTAAAACTTTTTTTTAAATGCACCCTATAGCCTGTGAAGCATTCCTGGCTACTATATTTAGGAATATCCAGGAAAAGAAGCTGTCTTTTTACACTCATTTTCCACAACTGACCTACTGAGCTACTGTTGGCCTTCATATCCTCAGCCGGAGGACTCTGACAGTGATTCAATGAGCTGGTGTTGAATGTGGTCATGAGGCCATTGTGTGCCTTTGGCATACAATGTGAAGGAGCTCTGGGAAGATTCTGTGAGGAACTTTATCCTTACAATTGATGAAATGTGTTATTCTAACTAGGAGGGTAACAGCTAGCTAAGGTTAAACGAGTTATAGCCCTGTGAAGAGAGGCTTTCTGACAAGGGTGAAGACCATGGACCAGAGAGTAGGTAGGCCTATGCATGTGCCTCTGGACAGCTTTATATAACACATAGGTTGGGTATTATTTTGACTATCGAATGTTGGACAAGACTAATACAATCTCTGCCCCTAGTTAGCAGGGACTATAGACAGGCAAGTACAAGCAACTTCAGTATAATTTGATAAATGTTATTATAAAGGTGAATGGAAGGTTCTTATTGACAAAGGCAAGAGAAGGGCAACAATGCCCAGTGCAACCAAGATGTTGGCCCAGGTCATCTTGGCAATTGAGATTAAAAACCAGTCGGTCTGATCTCGAATTCTGCTTTCTGTTAGAACTCCAGGTTGGTAGGTGGGGGAGTTCTGTCTCACCATCACCTCTGGCACAGAATTCCAGCTTCCAAAGAACACCTCATCTCCCTTGAATGTCACCCACTATTGTTGCTCCTCTTTTGGCTCTATGCCAATCAGATATGGAAATCAGCCCGTTTACTGTCATTTTCTTTCCAGAATCTACCACCTGAGGCCTGCGTGTGAGCAGGTTTTACTGAGGGTACAAAACGTTGAATGGTTTTACATTACCACAAGGACTTGCTCCCGGTCTCCCTCTGTGTTTCTTATGCTTTCTAATTCCTAGCTCTCATCTACTCTATTTTATTTGGCAGAGCAGTTTAGCTCTTTTGCCCTCCTGGCTCTGAGGCTAGTGTTGGGCCTCCAAAGCTCATTATTATACTCAGCCAAAGTAAGAACCATCTGTCCCAACTAAGGTGAATGACAGAGGCTCCACCGTGTTGCTCTTTCATTTCTCTTCCCAGTGGGGAAGAGAACAGGGGAAGTGCTAATTTCCTCACTGATGGGTTATGGTCCCGGCCTCCATCCCCAACCTTGGAAAGCAGAAGAAGCTGCAGGCAGTTTTGACTTTACATAACAACCTATAATTTAAAACAGGGTTGCTGCTGGGATTAAATAATTTTAAAAAGCACCCAGAACAGTGCCTGGTGCACCTTATAAATAAATAAATTCTTACCTTGTAACTTGGCTCTGAAGGCTGGTCTTAATGGCCGGTGAATAAAGTGACTATCAGCACACATAGGGACAGCTCTCTGCACGTTTTGAGTGAATACTCACATATATATGTATCGTAGTGCTAGCATCTAACACAGTATAATGGGGATTAAATTTATTGACCTATGCAAAGGCCCAGCACGCTGTAAATGCTGAGTCATTTTACACATTGACTTCTCTATAAGTGAGTGTTGGGAATGCATACATGCGTGCAACCAAATATTATTGTTTGGTTTTACTTGTCACCCCTGGTTGGAATGCAGTGTCTTGTCACCGAACAGCAGATGGTGCCTGGAACATTGGGAGACTGCCCACAGTGAGCCAGCAGCCTGCTTACCTCTGTCTCTTTGGCTGGTTAGCTCATTGCCTGATCAAGTCTGGATAGCAGGTTTAATCTGCATTTGGGCAAGTTAGTTCTGGGCCTTGCGCTAGAACCCTAGCTCTCAACCTACTATTTGGAAAATGATAAATTAAAAGGAAGACCAACTGGAAACCTTCATGAGGGCCACTGCCACTCATCCCCACCATAGCATAAGCAATCCGTTCCTCAAGGCGTATTGACTGTGGGTCTATATTGCATTATAACAGGAGGGGGCTCCTTTCTATTTCTGTCAGAGGGATAAGATAGCAAGTCCCGAATGAATTGGCAGAGTTTGGCAGCCAGAAGGCTTCCATATGTAATCAGTTCACACCTTACCCAGTGATACTACTGGATATAGTGCTGAATGTGCCAATAATTTGGCATCGCCATAGAGTCTGATGACATAATCCTTAAGGTCTTAGATTGATTCAGATTCTGTGCCGGCTGACTTCAAGTTGCTAAGACTGGGGGTTTGGTAGGTTAACATTAAGTCCTTTGGAAGCTTTAGATTCTATGTTAGGCATTTTTGTATGAATCAAATGAACGATTAACAACAGGTTACCTTGGAGGCATAGGCTTCGTATAGCTGTTGTAATGTCCTTCCCAACACACTGTTGGTGGTATTCATGAGCTGCTTACTCCTCTTCCAGCTTCTGGTGGTGGAGTCTAGGTATAGGTACTCTAACCCAGTCTGTCTGCTTTCCTTGTCTTGCCTTTTAGGTAACTTATAAAAGGTAAACCTAACAAAGGAAATAATCACGAATTACTAACATCTATTGACTGCTCCCCTGGTGTGAAGCACCGAAACATACCATTTTACTTGTGTTTCTTAAGTCTGAGGAAAAGGATTTGCTCCAGCTTTCCACCTCTATTTTCACCCTTGGCTTTGGTCCTTCCCAGAGAAGGAATGTGAATCTCACTGGACATGTCCCGAGACAGTAGCCGGCCTGGCAGGAAGGGTCCCTGTAGGTGAAGCCCATGTACGCATTCTACACGTTGACTGTGGCTGTCTTCTGTTTCCACAGTCCATATGGCTGCCCTGGGGAGAGGCCCAAGCCCAGGGCTAGACAGCAAAGGCCTTGGATGTGTTTTTCTCTTCTCTCCCAAGTGCTTGGCATGCTCACGTCTTTGTAGTTGGCTGGCTGGGTCTGAGATTTGAGTCTGGCCTGCAGAGTAGATGGCGTCTCCCTTGACCCTCTGGCCTCAGCCACATTCTTCAGCTGTTTATCAGACTGCCCTGCATTGAGGGTTCGGGGCCAAGAGCAGCCAATCAAGTAAGCATTTTGCCTTCTTTACTATTATCTCCTGTTTGTATATCTTCTTCAGGTATCTCACAGGGAGGGGAGGTGGCCGGATCATGGAGCCCAGGGCTTCTCAATGGGCCTGTGCTCACATTTCAGGCCAGATCATCCTTTGTTTCGGGGGGATGTCCTGGGCATCGCAGCCTCCCTGGCCTCTACCTACTAGATGACATAGTACTCCGCAGCTGTGCCAATCAAAAATGTTTGCAGACAATGTTGAAAGTCCCCTGAGGGCAAAGCTGCCAGGTCTGGCCAAATACTCTCTAATGCAAAAATCCCACAATGCACTGTCAAATACTCACAAGAAAGCAAACATCCTAACGCATTCACTATTGCCGCACGCCAGTACCTCACGCTGCACATAAAAGCTTCACATTCTACACTTGCTTGTATTCATATGTGCATTTTCCCGCCCCGTGCATGCGTTCTTACTCTCAGGGCAGGGTCCTCGCACGTGGCCAGGATCATAAGATCGTTCTTTGGTACTGGCCTGATGTTGTTCTGCCCATTGACTCTCACCGTGAGTTGTAACAGCTCGAGGCTGCCTCCCTGTTTGCTCAGGCTCAGAATTCCCTCTGATGGGTATTGCTAAGTAACATGTCCTTTCAGCTGTGGCAAAAATATATTTTATGTGTCATTCATGCTGTAGTGGCCTGCCACTGAAGAGCTGGAGATCTGTGTCATGACACACCAGATGAGAACTTGTGCATGTAAACATTTTTCTTGGGTAACCATTTCCAGTTATATTCTGAAGACTCCTGGATCTCTTTGTAACCCAGACCTCTACGCTGAGGTCCAGAGAAGCCTAAATACATACATGTCCCAGAGACCTCCAGCTCCATAGTTTTGAAACCAAGTTTATAATATTTTGTCCAACTCTGCTCTTCTCTGCAGCTGGGGAACACATCTGTATGGTCAGAGACGCCAACAGTCTGAAAGTCTTTCCTAACTCGGCTCTCTCTCCTACGACCCTCAACCCATTTGTGGACAAGTTTTCTCAGAATGTGCCTTCCTCTCTAATTTGACTGCCATTTTTCTAACGTGCGTTCGCATATCATCTCACCCATAATGTGAGTCCTATAGTTCTCCATGACTCTAGACTGGTCTCCATGAAGCTGGCTTTCCCAGTATTGCCAGTGGACTTTCTCGAATATGAACCTGACCACTTCACATCCCTGTTTGAAGGTCTTTAGTAGCTCCCTTGGAGGGTCAAGGGCAGACTCTGCAGCCCAGCACACAAAGCCCTTTTAGAACTGTCTGTTGCCTCTTGCTGAACTTCCCTTCTGCCATCTCTCCATGTTGTGAAGGACCAGCAACACTGAACTGCTTCCACACTCTCTCCATGGCTTTCTACCTTTTTGCCCCTATACCTCCTCACTGCCCCCTCATGGGCCTGAGATGCCCTTGCAGCTCCCTGGTTTTTCTGACCAGCTCATCATTGTTCTTAAAACTTAGCTCAAAGCAGGGATGCCTGGGTGGCTCAGTCAGTTATGTGTCTGCCTTCTGCTCAGGTCATGATCCCAGGGTCCTGGGATTGAGTCCCATGTGGGCTCCTTGCTTCATGCGGAGTCTGCCTTTCTCTCTCTCTCTCTCTCATGAATAAATAAAGTCTTAAACAACAACAACAACAACTTAGCTCAAAACTACTTCCTCAGAGAAGATTTTTGGGCTGTCTGCTCCCCAATGACCCCATCTATGCCCTCACCGCATAACTGAGCTCCTGGAGGGCAAGAACCATGTTTCATTCATACCTGTGTTTTCAATACTCAGCATAGGGCCTGGCATAAGCTCAGTAACTGCTTGCTGAGAGACTGAATGAGTGTATCTGTGGTCTTTAGCTTGAAGTTTACACAAAGCTTGACGCCAACCATAATGTCAAAACCAAAGACCTTAATGAAAGAGTGAAAAGGTGATCTAAGCTTTAGAAGAATCCATGGCGGGGCACCTGGGTGGCTCAGTGGGTTAAAGCCTCTGCCTTTGGCTCAGGTCATGGTCCCAGGGTCCTGGGATCAAGCCCCACGTGGGGCTCTCTGCTCAGCGGGGAGCCTTCTTCCTCCTCTCTCTCTCTGCCTGCCTCTCTGCCTACTTGTGATCTCTATCTGTCAAATAAATAAATAAAATCTTTAAAAAAAAAAAAAAAAAGAAGAAGAATCCATGGCTATAATGTGGTGCTGTGCTTAGTCTCTCTGACACCATGAAGGACGCCAGCGATCCAGCACCCACTCCAACAACTGCTGCATGCTGCCTAATCAACGCCATCAACCCAGCCGTGCTGCGCTCCATCAAGCCCTCTTTCTCCTTCTCAGAAGGACAAGAGCAAGTTCTCGGACAAAAAGAAATCTGCCTTCTTGCCTTTCTCCCTCTCTAAAAGGATGTTGGAAAGTTCCGTTAGGAAAGGCACAATGCAATGAGAGGAAATTGCCAACAGAGAGAGGTTGTCAGCTCTCTCCCACCTCTGTGGCCTCCAGACTTGTCCCATTGGGGCCATTGAATCAGGCTCACGAGGGGCTGCTGAGCTCTTCCTCAGGGGAAGCCCCCCACTCAGGAGCCTGCTCCTATTTGGATATGTGGGTCATTTACACACTTTAATTTCCTCTTTTTAAAAGGGAAAGGCAGGGTGGAAGATTCCTTTAGGACTTTACAGTGAGCCGCTTTGCCTCAGACCCTCTGGCTTTCTACCTGCATGCCCGAATCCTCCCGTTTCATTTACCTACCAATCCACAGCTTCACCTTCCTCATTCCTGCACGATATTGTTGTTGCTTCCAGAACCCCAAACAGGCCAAAGAAGAGTAAAGCAAGGGCTGTTCTCAGAAGTCTTGCTGTCATTTTTTTTTTTTTTAAATCTGCCACCTTTACCCCCTGCCACCGTGGGAAACTTGCCCCCCAGACTGAGGGCTCTGAGTCTCAGGTCTGTCCCAGGCTGTGCGGGTGCTGATGTTGGATTACATTTACCTCTGCTGTTAGCTGTTTGGGCATTTCCAGAACGGAGCGAACCTCACGTCATTGTGTGGTTCTGTCACAACGTGCCAGCGTGACTCCACTCCGGAGGCTTTTGTGCTCAATTGTTGCCTGGTTTGCAAAGTCATCAGAAGTTCTGGAGAGAACAAAGGGATAGATAGTTAACTCTTTGGAGTGAACACCATGTGGTAGGAAGTTCAGTAGGCAGGGAAACTCCATCTTGATCAGTAGATGTGGAATTAAATATATGTCATGTTTTTTTTTTCCCTCATGATGCTCTAGAAGTGAAAACAAATGCTTGTCGTTCACACATTAAGCAGAAATGACTAAACCTTCTGTCTTAGTCATAGTTGGGATCTATCACTTCTAACACACTCGGTCTTAAAGAAACATTTCCTAAAGTCTACTTCAAAGGGTTGCCTCAAAGTCAGAGCAAATTTAATTGTATTTTACCAAAGATGTTTACATATTGTCTCCACCTCTGGTTTTAGCCAATCTATGCGGTGCTTTCGTTTCAAGAGCTCCTGATGTCCAATTGGTTTTAAGGCAATCAGGTAAATATATTGACCACTCACCCTTCAGGTCAAATACAAAATATTAGAAAACACCTGTTTTGCCCAAACTATTCTTTTTTACTCTTGAAACTGAATTTGAAGTTGAAGGCTAAGAGAAAATGGCTCATTACGATCATGACTATAAAAAGGTGAGACCATTCTCTTTGTGGAGGAGGGAAGAGAGTAGATAGGGATAGAAAAAGAATTTCTCTAATTGACTCAATTATTAAAGATGATGTCATAAAAAGTAGCGATTTACCTTATGCCTGGAAATCATTATGGCTCTGATCTCTCCCTCTGGTTATGGGTCCAGATAGTCACTTAGAGACCCAGACCAAACTGGAATCTTCCAAATATTCTATGGTTGAGTTGGAGTTTTTCAGGACTCAGGGTTCATGGGAAAGTGAGGGGTTGGGGCTCTATTTCTCTAAAGACAGAGTTTTGTGAGGGATATCTGGACCACCTGCCCACATTTTCCTGTGCTTGCAGAAGGGGCAGAATTCCGGGCCTCACTGCGGATCTGCTAACTCAGAATTCTTCCGCTTGGGTGTAGGAATCTGCATTTTTTTTTTTTTTTACAAGGTTTAAGGCGATGCTAGTACACCCTAAACTTTGAGGTTTGCTGCCCTGAGCCAAGGCTGTGCTGTATCTGATAGGTTTGCAACCTATCAAATTGGTAAATAAAAATAATTTTTTTTCTGATCATTTCTCCGTGGGTATCATTTTGTTCTATATATGTTTTTATTGCATTCGGAAAAAAAGTATTTCAACAACCTCAAACTTTCAATCAATTTTTAAAAACGTTCATAGCATAAAGTTTATTTTTCTAAGTTAAAATAAAATTAATTTTATCTTGTGATAGCTCTTGGTAGTATAATCGTAATAGCTGAGTACCCCAGGCTTAAGATTCACTGATGCATTTAGAGAGTGTAAACAACTTGTTTTCAGTTATGTAGGTTAATGAACATTTGTTGAACAGTATATAAGACAATTCCTATTTTCTCCTCATTCCATGCTTAGCATGGGGCCTGGCCAAAAGTAAATGATCCACAAATGTTAGCTAAGATCATTTTTATTACAACCTGAGCCCTTCCTGTGTTTGGGCTGGGGCACATCTGTGTTAGGATGCTATTTGCTAAATCCATTTTTGTTTCAAGCTCTGGAAAAACGCTATTAGGTCACTTTCTTTCAGAGACAACTTTCAGTTAAGCTTTCTTATCTCCAGTTGTTGCTGACCTGAGCATGCTGATGGCGCAGTCGGTGACCTTTCTTACGCAATCACTTGTTATCGAACCCTACACTGGGCATTGAGGGGCTTCAGGGATTTCAACACTATCCTAAAGACTAGATTCTAGTGAGTCCTGGATTCTGCTAAAAACAGCAAATTAATGTGAAAAGAGACTGAATTTGGCAGATGGAGAAAATGCAAACTGGATAGAATGGTTTTCACATTACCCACTTTTGAAGACCAAGTAGTAAAAGATGACAAAAATACCACAGATCCTTCACTGTACAATTACTTCTCAAAACAGTAGAAAATCCCTTCATTATAACTTAACTAAGTCTAGTGAACGAGGTAGAGTTTGTCACTTGGTCATGGGCTTCTTAGTTCATAGTTGAAAGTTTGCATTCATTCATCCAGTATTTCTGGAAAATCTCAGTCCTGCCTGATCTCCTTGAAATTGTGCCTTTTCCACATTCTCTCTGTCATATCATCCTAGTGCATTTTATGTCTCTTGCATATACTCTGTCTCCTATGTGTCTGTATTAACCCTAATTCTTTATTTGGATCTATCTTCCAGTTCTCAAATTCTCTCTTAGGCAATATTATTCTGTTACTTAATTTATCTCTTCCAAATAACTAATTTTATTTCTTCAGTTGTGTTTAATCTGTTTCTTAATGCATTTAGTATTGTATTTCTAGAAGTTCAATTTTTTTTTCCCTTCAGATTTGCTAGGTCTTTTTTATGGCCTCTTGTTTTTTGCTCAAGGGAAGAGACACTCTGTATCAAGAAGGAGATATATTCAGTTCTTTTATTTCTGTAAAAATATTAAATATGTTACTTTATATTTTATGTTTGATAATTCCAATATCCAGTGTCTCTTTAGGTCATACTTTGCTGTATGTTGTTTATGCAATTCTCTCTCATGATACCTCACTACCCTGTCTGCTTTTTTATTTTTGGCTGTGAGTCCATATTCTTTGAATTCTTATCTGTGAAAATTTCTTGAGGTTGACGTAAAGTTGGGTTTCTCCAAACCCTGGTCTAGAGGGCCTTCACTGAAATTTGGTCATCCTTTGAGGATTTCTGAAAGTCAGACTGCTGGCTTTACTTTTTCATTTTCAATAGCTTTTTGGGGTGTGATTTACATGTTAGAAAATTTATCTGTTTAAGTTTAATGTTCAAACTTTTATAGGACTGTTGATGTGCTGATTTAAAATCTAAAATATGACAGATTGAAGGAAAAAGTTGATATCCTTATTGTGGGAGGAAGGGGGAGGGACTGGAATTATTTTGATGAAAACTGATGAGAAAAGCAACATGATACAAGTACTCGTGAAACAAAGAATTGTTTATGAAAAATGTTAAAGGAAAACCTAAATAGAATTAATGGAAGAAGACTGGACAATTTTATTTTGTTAATTACTATCTATCATTCATAGCTTTGTGGATGCCAATCTCTTCTGGAAGCTATCCTTGATCTCCCTCAATCTGGCTTAGGTGTCCCAGAGTTCACTGTATTTTTTTCAATGCGAGTCATTATCACAATGTGTTCTAATTACTTGGTTATGTTTCTGAGTCTTTCTCTCAAGAGCAGGGATCAGCAAACTGTTGTTGACCAAATATGACCCACTGCCTGTTTGTGTAAATAAGGTTTTATTGGAACACAACAACATCCATTCATTAATGCATTATGTATAACTATTTATGCTGTAATGGCGGAGTTGAGTAGTTGCAACAGAGACTAGATGGTCTGCAAAGCCTAAAATATGAACTTTTTGATTTTTTACTGAAAGGGTTTGTTCTAGTGTAGAGGGTATAAACTTCTGGTGTATAATCTATCAGGGCAGAACAATGTTTCCTGGTTTGTTATTGTATCTCTTGTACTTACCATGGTGCTTATTACCTAGTAGGAGCTAAATAAATACAGACGAGGCATGGATTGAATGAAAACGGTTTCAGATGTTTCTATTCTGGGGTTATGTGGAATTTATAATGAATTAAATCTAGACAGATAAATAAAAAGGAGTATGCAGGCAAAATCCAATTTTAAAGAACTTGTAATGTTATCTCAAAAAGGCAAATGGGTATAGTGAAAACAATCAGGCAGACCTGGGTTCCCTGCCTGACCCTGCCTCTCCAAAGTCTTCTGGTTTGGGTCCCCCCCCCACAAGATTTAATTTGTAAGTAATCACCGTACCCAACGTGGGGCTCGAACTCACAAACCCTAGATCAAGAGTCACATATTCTACTGACTGAGCCAGCCAGGTGCCCCTGCAACTGCTATGTGGTTTTGACCAAACCATTTAACCTCAACACTGCCAGCTTCCTTTTCTCAAGGTGAGGCTCATGATCTGTGCTTTCACAGAGTGCTCTCAGGGTTCAGGGAGAGGCTGGGTACGTAGCCTCTGGCACATGACTAATGCTTATTAGATGCTGGTTCCTACCCTCCTTGTTTCCTGTTTCTTCTGTGTCACAGTTATGTCTTCGTCTTTGCTGATGGTCCTTTGATGATATGGGTTTAATGACCACAAATAAACCAACATTACTCCTGTTTGCTGTCGCCCTTGCCCAGATGAAAGTCAGTCTTTGACTCAAATGTAGTACCTGTTACTGAAGACACGAAGCTGAATTTTCATCCTGCCTCCAAGGTCCATCAACTTTTCATTGTTCCCTTACTTCACAACTTAAACATCCTAACCGTACACACAGAATCAATCAGAGTGAAGAATTCCCCTGCAATTTAAAACCATGACTTAAGTTCTAGAGAAAGCGATGGGCTGGACCAGGGTATTTCTGGGCATCAGTGAGTTCCACCTGGTGCAGTGTAAGCAGAATAAAGCTCTTCAGTCTCAGCAGGGCTCTTTCCACAGTCCCAGTCTACCTGGTAGCCCCGGGACTTTGGACAGCTCACTTACATGCCATTTCTTTTAAAACAGGGATTCTTCCTCTTAAATGGCAGGGAGTTTGGGAGGAATAGATAAGATAATGTAGAGTCCAATGAATGGAATTTTAAAAATGGCATAGAAACTTAAGTTTCTGCAGTAGCATGTACTTTTCCCTCCCTCTGTATCCTTTCTCTCTCTAAAGAATGTGTTGGCCATCCAGAGTCTCATCCCTAATGACTCTGCCTGTAGTGGGAAAGAGCATGTCATTGGGAGGCGGCGCTCCCCCTGTCTTCTGTCACCTAGTAATTGTGTGACCTTGGCAGGATACCTAACCCTGCATCTCCCTTAGTCAAACATGGATTAAAAATACCAATGCCGCAGGGTCCCTGTAAAGGATCAGAGGGAATAATACATGCCAAGTTCCTGACCCAGATGAAACCCTCGCTAAATGGTTGCTACTGTTATTTTTATTCTCAAGACTTACACATTTGGAAAAAGGTATCTTTCAATGTATGTGTTTCAGTAAAATTTTCTTCCCACCGTGTTCTTGGAGGTCTCCATCAATTCTTTGTTGAGGCGGTTCCTGCCCCCAATCTAGAAGCTCCCGAGGGCCTTGTTCCAGTTCCCAGCCTTAAGGCTAGTGGCGCCATGGAGAGGCTGGCAAGAACATTAGCATTTCCCCTGACATTTAGTGACTGAGTTTTCTCTTCCTTTGTAATAGGCAGAAGTGTGAAAATCACTGAGCACCTGTACATAGAGTCTTCATTAGCTAACAGGTCACCTTCCTTCTACCATGATTATGCATATGACTTTGTTAGACTGTTTCTGAAGCATCTGCCTGACAAATCCCTTTAGAGTCACGCTTTGAACATAACTCAGGGCATATCCCTCCTTGATAGCAAAAATAATCCACTCTACAGCCTAGAGCAACATGACATTTTCTACTAGATATCAATATTTTCCCATCTGACCTTTAGTAGATCCTAGGCAGCCAAAAAAATACCAGCTGCTTCTAAGGTTATGATTCACCATTATTGTTCTTATCCTTATGTATTGTTAAGCTCTGCCAAAGTGATATTAAGATTGTTCAGATGAGTACTCCTTTTTCTCATATTAGTTCAGCATCTTTTTCTGAAAACTTTTTGTTCGTGAATGCCCAGGGAAATAGTCAGGCAAAGGAAAAACCTGGGCACAGAACTGGAAGAACTTCTCCAGAACATTCCAAACACAGAAAGAGAGGCCTGTCTCCAAGTACAGTTCTTCCATCATGGCGAACTGCAACTGAGTTGATTTTTACACCTGTGTTCAGTCCTAAATAGCTAGCTTTTTTTGTATTTCTCTCTGTTATGGAGGGGAGAGATGAGGCCTGCAGAAGCTCTTCTAAGACTGAAGAGAAAATGTAAGTCATCTTTAAATTTACAAAAGTTTTTTTAAAAATATTTCTTAATATTTTCCACCTCAAATCTATCTGCTGGGCCTTCCAGGGGTTAACAGACTCCAGGCTAGAAACCCCTAGACAACCTACATCATTTTCAGTGTGGCCTGCAAATAAGAAAATGCTTACTACCTCATTACAGAAGTGAAAAATAAGACTAATTTACAATCTCAGAGAGTTCTCTCCAATATTACTTGCATGTAAATCATGATTTCTATCCCCTTATCTTTCAAGACATGTCTAAGAAAAGGGGATTTTTCTTGTGTAGAGCCAGGTAAAAATTTATTTGGTCTGATGTTTCATCCAGAGTAATTTCTCTAGGAAATTGAGTTACCTCTTGTAACTTTGTTTCCCAAGGGCACACAAGCTTGAGGACAGACATCCAAAGTATGAAGGCAGAAGTAGGCCTTGTCATAGATTGCTGTGCAATCTGGGTATTTATCTCTAACAGTAATTGGAACCCTTTGACATTAAACTTGACATGTAGTTATTATTTATCAGTGATAATTATGACTAACATTTATTGAACACTTACTATTTGCCAGGCCCTTTTCTGAGTGCTTTGTGTTTTTTCTCACATACTCCTCACTGCAATCCTGGGAGGTGGGCACTACTATTATTCCATTTTATAGGTGGAGAAATTCGCCTCCACCTGCAGAGATAATAGGTGGCAGAACAAAGGTTCACCCCTGCGCTGCCTGATTCCAGAGCACAGAGACCATCCTCTCAGCCACCTGCCCACCCTCCACATGAGAGCAACCTTCATATCTTACTGTAAGGTTATCTTGGACAGGGATCTCTGCACCATACTGTGTTTTCTACACGATAGGGTTCTGGCACCTACTTCTGATTTCTCTGACTACAGACTGGGGGAAGTCTTACTGAGAAGAACAGCCTCATTTCTGGTCTGGACCTGTTATCTGTTCTGTCAGGTCCTGCTGAGAGACTCTCAGGCATCCCACACCACTGTTGTTCATTCTGCACCGTCCTCAGATGGTTATATTCTTTTTATTCTGACTTATTACCCAATCATGTGATTACTCAAGCTTTGCTCTGATGCTAAGCCCTGGTCGGGAGATCGCTGAGGAAGGCTGACCTCTCTGGCCTGCATCACGTGGGAGCTCCATGATGGCCGTGCTGTGTGGAGTGCTCCGTCTTGTCAGCAGGGTGAGCTCTCGGTGCTGCGTCCGTGACTCTCTCTACACCCAGTTCTGCCCTTCCCGGGCCTTTGTTCTCCAGTCAGCTGTGCCTGTAATCTCCAGGTTGTGGTGATCCGAGAGCAGATGGCACTTTCCCTACTTTCCCAGGAAGAGGAACTTCCTGCCCCAGGTTTGAGCTGAGGAGGCAAGTCTGTATTGAAATCTGTGGGGTATCATCATTAACTATTCCGTGTCACCACACAAGAAGTGGAGGTGATGGTGCACAATTCATTCAGTCATGCCGCATTTGTTAAGCATCTATTTATGTTCTAGGCACTGTGCTGAGCACTGGAGTTGCCATGACAACTGAGAAAGACTGGCTCCTGCTTTCATAGTTTCCCATTTTTTAACAAACCAGACACATGATGAGGCAATTGCCATATAATTTGATAAAGACTGTGATAAGGCAGTAACTCTTTCCAGAGCATATAGAAGAGACACCTACTCCAGACCTAAAGGACTGGGCAGATAACTGGGGGAAGTGGCTTCTGAGACCTGAAGGGTGACTAGAAGACGTTCGTCAGGTGAAGGGGTTGGTAGTTGGATGGAAGGAAGGGAAACGTGTCCAAGGAAGAAGGCATAGCAAATTCAAAGGCCTGCAGGGAGGGCGACTGTGCAGAGGCTGGGCAAGCACAATGAGCTCAGGAAAGCTGAAGCAGAGTTTGAAATAGGCTGTGACAGGACATGAAGTTGGAGAGGTGAGCAGGGTTGGGGACCCGAAGGGTGGCTATCATTGACTCTGTGTATCACGTAGGAACCACTTGCTTTTCACAGACTGAGCTACTGTACTTGGGTATCGAGTGACAGGGCGTAAGACTGAGGGGTCCCATTTGTTGAGTCCTGCTGTGTCCTGGGGCTGATGGACGATCTTGGAGACCTTTGGTTCTGACCCCTCGTCCATGCCATCCAGGACCCCCAATCCAGCCAACTGCCTCCCTGTCCAGGTGGAATCTCTTTGTGGCTCAAAAGACATGTCAGAGTCTTCCTCCAACTGCTACCAGAAGTGCTCACTACTCTAAACCTGGTGTCTTTACTCAAAATCCCTCCTACCATCTCCACCCCTGCTGTGCCCACAGCCAGGCCCGATGTGGCCGCTGTTGTTGGGGGTGGACCCCACGGCTCCCCAGGCACTAGGAACTGAGCTGGGACTTTCATACTCCCCAGCAACTCCTACCAGTAGGGGGGTTATCTCCGTTTGTGCAACCGGGGAAACTGAGGGCTCAGAGCCAACAAATTATTTGTTGCAAGCCACAAAACTATAAATAGCAAGACAGAGTTTGGAGGTGGTCTGACTCCAAAGTCCTTGCAACCACAAGCTGTTACTCCTTCCCTGTCCCTATTATCATTCTTCTTCAGATCCTTTAAGTCTGCTCTTTGAGTTGTCTTATTGATCCTGTTCTTGAAGATGAGTCCCTTGAAAATTGGGTCAGTGGCTTCTGAGGGACCTCGCCAAGAGTCGCCCCTTCAATCAGCAGCATGTCCTAGCAGGCTCCATCCCCAAGATTCAGGACCGCCTCTCATCCCTCTCACTTTGATTAAGAACTTAACAATCATTTCTGACGTTGGTTAGTACTTTACAATTCCTCCCAGGGGATCTGGTAAACAGAATCTGGGGCAGCCCTCAGCATATTGCCTATGTGCCATTAGCCGGTGAGGCTCCTTCTTTATGACACCCCCACCCCAGACTCTCAGTGCATGTTGTTTCTGGTTTACTTTTATTTTTGTCACTTTCTTTCACTACCATTTTAATGTTCAATTTTGACACTAAATAAAATGGGTTTTTCTGCCCCTGTGCTCCCTCCTGCCTCTTCTCTCAAACACCAGTAAAGCCCAGCAACAAATCTGAATCCTAGCTGTGGAGACGGATGTATTTGCTAGTGAGAGCTCCGGCTCCAGATAAGGCTACTAATGAATCAATCACCGGGCTTTTATTAAGTGTCTCTTCACTAAAAGCATAGCTGTTCCCGCAGCCAGATGGCCCTGGCTCTGCCCTCCTGGAGGTACTCTGGACCCTGTCACTAATTACTCTTCTTCCCGGCAGCAAGTAGAAGAAGCAATTTTCAAATTGTTTTTATTGATCACAGGACATTTTCTCCAGAATATGACTCAGTATAAAAGAGAGGATATAATTATCTTCAGTGAACATAGTCAAAAAATTTTTATGAAAGAATGACAGTCTATATAGTGGTTTGGAGGACAAAGTCTGGAGTCAACGGATCTGGGCAGGAATCCTTGGCTCTATCCTTCACTAGCTATGTGGAGTAGAGCCAGTCCCTTAAACTCGTTGAACCTCAGTTTCTCCCTCTGTGACATGGGAATAATAAGAGTTTATAGAGCTGTTACAAGGATTAAGTTAGCAGGAATTTATTTAAACGTTTATTTAAACGAAGTAAAGATTTCGGTCCAGGAGATAATGTTATTGTTATCATTCGTTATTATTATCAAGAAAGCCATCCACCTGTCTGTCTTCTGGCTAGCTGGATATATTTTCATCTGTTTCTCTCAATTCTCTTTTCCCCATTAAAATTCCCATTTTTCTTCAAAGGTCGGGTATAGTCTTACTTTCACGAATACTCTTAACTCTCACCTTTTGTAATTATGTGATTATATCAAGGCTCGAAGAGCTCGGAGATGACTTTTTGCTTTCATTTAGGTTTCTTCAATAAGAGGACTGTGTTTTTGTTGCAGAATGACGAGGTGGAGTTTGTCCGAACTGGCTATGGGAAGGATATGGTAAGAGTTCTCTGTATTCAGAGAGATGGAAAATACCACAGCATCAAAGAAGTGGCAACTTCAGTGCAACTTACTCTGAGTTCCAAAAAGGATTACGTGCATGGAGATAATTCAGACATCATCCCCACAGACACTATCAAGAACACAGTTCATGTTTTGGCAAAGTTTAAAGGGGTAGGTGTCATTCTTCGTAGACACTGCCTATCTTGATGTGGAATTCACCGTACTATAACTTGAGGGTATCACTTGCCTAACTGCAGTTTCTGCTTATTTTTAACACTATTTTTACATTTAAGCCACTAATTTTTTCTTTCTTTTTTTTTATTTATTTATTAGACACACAGAGAGAGATTACAAGTAGGCAGAGAGGCAGGCAGAGAGAGAGGGGGAAGCAGCCCCCCTGCTGAGCAGAGAGCCTGATGCGGGGCTCGATCTCAGAACCCTGAGATCATGACCTGAGCTGAAGGCAGAGGCTTTAACCCACTGAGCCACCCAGGCGCCCCTCTTTTTTTTTTTTTTTTAATTTCTCTTCTAAAATTCTCAGCCTTACAGAAAACTTTTTTTTTTTTTTTTTTTTTTTTTTTTTTTCTTTTCTATTTTTCTCCCCCTTTTAAAAACCTTTTTTTTTTTTTTTTTTTTTTTTTTTCCTCTTAATCTCACGTCTTCTCTTTTTTGGTTCTCAGCTTACTATATCTTTTAGGAAAAGAATCTTATCTGACAAATTTACATGTTCTCTCTTAATTAGGATCATTGGCAAATCAAGGCCCAGGGAGGATTTCAGAACAGAATTTTACACATTTTTGTCATACTTTTCTTTGATTCCTCTTGCTTACTTTTTTCTTTTAGAATGGTATACATTTATAGCAGAAAGTACCATTTATCTTTCTGGTGTTACTATAGGAGAAAATCTTGAGTATACGATGTATTTTGAAATATATTTGCCCAAGTTTTAATGCCTTCCTCATTTTCTCAACTCCATGACCACTTGGTATCTGTATATCACAATAAGCGTATTCTTCAAAAGGGTCTTGGAGCTGGTGGAATCTGCTGTTTTGGCACTTCACCTTCCACTTTCTTTAAGTGTGAGTGAAGCTGTGTTGGACTACCAGCAGATTTCTGGGGAACTCAAGATAATTTTTCTATTTGCTAAACAGTCTAAAAGACAAGAAATGTAGACTGGAAAGCTTCTTTTTCTCATACTTTTGCATGAAATCCACACTCAGCATGCATGAAATGAACAGACCAATTGAAATATAATTTCCGCAAGGCCTTCCTCCCTGCTGAATCTTTCTCTTGCTACTCAAAGTGGCCCAGCAAGCGTAAACATGGCTATGGACAAAGGCATTGCTCTTCTGAAAAAATAAATTGAAAATAGGCTTTCATCCTGAGCTATATAGGAGGGTCAGGTAACACAGATTCTTATATTTCCCGTACTGGGTAAGAGATGCAGAAAAGTGAAGGAATGGACCTGGATATTAAAAACAATTAGAATTTATTCGTTATAGGTAGAATGACCATATAATTTCTTATCCAAACCAAGATACTTTTTTTCTTTTGATTTTTTTCAATTGAGGTATAATTGGCATACTTTATATTAGTTTCAAGTGTACCGCATAATCATTTGATATTTGTATATATGATGAAATAAATGTTTATTTCTTGAGATGAAAACTTAAGATTTATTCTCTTAGCTACTTTCAACCAGGCAATACAGTATTATTACCTGTATTTGCTGTGTGATACATTACATCCCCATGACTTATTTATAACTGGAAGACTGTACCTTTTGACTTTCTTTGCCCGTTTTGCTCTTCCCCACTCCCCTGGCAAATATTAATCTGTTATCTATATCTATGAGCTTGATTTGTTTCTGTTTGCTTTTGTTTTGTTTTGTTTAGGTTTCACATATAAATGAGAACATACGGTATTTGCTTGTTTCCTGACTTATTTCACTTAGCATAATGCCATCAGTTTAATCTATGATCTGTTATCACAAATGTAAAGATTTCATTCTTTAAGAGCTGAATAATATTCCATTATATATATATAAAATATATATATACACCATATATAATAGATACCATATAATTATGGTATAAATAATAAATCTAAATACATACGTGTGTGTGTATATATATATATATATACACACATTTACATATACCACATTTTTTAATCCATTTATCCATTGATGGATGTGTAAATTGTTTCTATATTTTGGCTATTGTAAATAGTGCTGCAATGAACATATATCTTTTTGAGTTAGTATTTTTGTTTTCTAAACTAGGACACTTCTGAGAGTGAAATAAGATGTTAAATAATTATTCTGGGACAAGAGGCATAAAACATAACTATCCTGGGGAAACCTATACAAATAGTCCCCCTTAGGCAGAGCCATAAATCATCTGTACACTGTGCTAAGACCATAACACATTGTCTAGAGACTATCCTGAAGAATTTGTGTGAAAATAGGCAGCTGCTTTATAGGGCAGAGAGCTAGGGATGGTCCATAGGAGGCTTGTTTGCAAAGCAAGAAGCAGAAGTGGCCCTACATTAACGTTTTCTTTGGGAAACTTGGAAGCCCATTGGCCAACGTCATAGAGACACGAGAGCGTTTTGGAGTATACTGTGGTACTGTAGTTGGCGTGACTGATGACTGAACTCACTGTAAGGAGAATCTAAATGTTAAGCTTCATTTTGCTCATCCATTGATTGACACATTTCTTTCTGCAAAGCAGGTTTCTTTTAAAAACAGGATAGTCTCGCCAGGTAATGGTGATCTATTAAATACACTTAGGAGACCTTGTGAAAAATTGGGATAAGGACCAATTCACCTCTCCAGATTCTTTCAAAATCTCTATTTCTCTAATTCTAAAAAAACATTTGAACAGGAAAGAGAACTCCATGCGTATTTAAAAATTATTTTTAAATGGGGCGGTGTTTCTGATCACTAGCATTTTGTTTCCTTTTACAGATCAAAAGCATAGAAACTTTTGCAATGAACATCTGTGAGCATTTCCTTTCTTCTTTTAACCATGTCATCCGAGTTCAAGTCTATGTGGAAGAAGTCCCTTGGAAGCGTTTTGAAAAGGTTACCTCAGTTGTTTGTGCTCTCAGCTTAATTAAAGAAATTGGCTTTATGATATATGCTGAAATTTTACCAGAAACATTTTTTTTCTAATTTTCAGAATGGAGTTAAGCATGTCCATGCATTTATTCACACTCCCACTGGAACGCACTTCTGTGAGATTGAACAGATGAGGGGTGGTGAGAAAATATTTTTGATGTTTTGATTCTGCAGTAACAATTTCTGTATTTTTTTCTTCTAAACAATTCTGTTTATTAGCATCAAGGAAAACTGTAGAGAATTTTGAAGGCATTTAAATCTGAGATGGGAATGAGCATCGTGACTCTGGAGTACATTGAAAAACTATCTACTTTTTATCTTAATATAAAAATGAAATAATACATTTTGCAACAAACCTAGGGATTGATTAAGGTAGATCATTTTTATCATCTGATTCTGAGATGAGGGGGAAAAAAAGGTCCCAACTGACAAAACCCCAAATCTATGAATTTTCTGACTAGTAGTTTTTGTACCATATCATGCTATAATTATAATAACCTTAATAGGAAATAACTAGTAAATTATAATTGAGTTTCCCTGGTATTTTATTTTCATAATAATAAAACCACTGATGTTATTATAACTACTATTAGAATGAACCTCATTTAAATAGCAATGATAATTATATAATTCTTTCTATTTACTAAGAAATTTAAAACTTAACTGTGGAACATAATTACAATAAGGATTTACTGGTACTGATGATTGAACTTAGCAAATATCAAAATTTCCAAATCTTGTCTTCTTGGTTGAGATAGAGTAGAGTTCAATAACTGGTTATGAGTTAGATTAGAGGACCTCTAAGAACCATGGAGCCAGACGTGGTAGATAGGTCTCTATCCCAGTAAAAAATTCATTTTCATGATCATCATAAATTGACAATGTGGACTCTGAACTTCTTCCCTTTCTTCTCTCCCTTTTCTCTTTTCTCCTTTCCTTCTCTTCCTTCCCTTTTCCGTACCTCCTTCTCTTTTTCCTCTAACTCTCTTCAGTAAGAATTGGAGGTAGCACTCATAAATGTCAGAAATATTATAAAATTAATAAAATATAAATCCCTTCTGAATTTTATTGGATAATGCCTTCCCTTAGAAAGTTCTAGTGTATTAGCTGTTGTTTCATAATTTCTGCTATCTGTATTAAACTCCAGGCACAGCCAGGGCCTTCTCAGTGTTTAGTTAACAATTATGTAATTATTGTCCTATAAAGGAGACTGTATAACTAGTTGTTAAATTAAGTTGAAATGATAATGATTTTTTAATACCCCAAATGCATAGCCATGTGATATATTGACTTGCTGATTGAGTTATTAGTTGAAATGTAACCTACATTCCTCCTTCCTTCCTTCTTTCCTTTCATATGTGACTTTGGGAGAGAAAGAGAAAGAAATGTTTCCCAATTCTCCAAGCCAGTGTTTTCCTACCTAAACCACATTGACTAGCCTCATAAAATGATAAACTCTAAACTGGCATTGTCCAACAGAAATATGATGCAAGCCACACATGTAATTTTAAAATTTTCTAGTATTCACATTAGGAAACAAAAAGAAATTAATTTCAATAATATATTTTATTTAATCCAATATATGCACAATGTCCCTTAAATATGTAAAAATATGAACTACTAACGAATTATTTCACATTCTTTTTAAAAAGTTAAGTCTTTGAAATCCTGTTGGTATTTTTTTTTGAAGATTTTATTTATTTGACAGAGAGAGAGATCACAAGTAGAGAGAGAGAGAGAGAGAGAGAGAGAAGGAGGCAGGCTCCCTGCCTAGCAGAGAGCCCGATGTGGGACTTAATCCCAGAACCTTGAGATCAGGACCTGAGCTGAAGGCAGAGGCTTAACCCACTGAGCCACCCAGGCAGCGCTCCTGTTGGTATTTTTATATTTACAGGACATCTCAGTTCACACTTCCCATATTCCAAGTGTTTAAGAGCCACGTGTGGCTAGGAGCTAACATATTGATTAGCACAGCTCTACACCAAATCATGAGATTTTGCAATATTTAGTATATTCCTCTTTTGACATTCAAGCATGTAAAATAACAGTAGAAGCTAGAATTGGATTTGGGGAGAGCTAATTAAAAAATGAGAATATGAATGAAATATGCTTATGTCATTCATTGAAATAGTATTAATTCAACATTTGGATTTTGAGGACTTTTTATGTATACCACGGCTGTAAATTCAGAGGTGAATAAAACATTCCTTGGCCTTAGTGAGTCTGCAGTAGATGAATAGTAGGAGATAGACTTAAAAAAAGATTTATTGCATTATTAGGGGTTAAAAACCACAATGAAGGAATCAAAGTTATGCAAGGGAGGCAAAGAGGTGCAAAAACCTGACTCTTCCCAGGGTAGTCTGGAAAGCTTGACAGGATAGGAGGAAATATTCCAATTGACTTTTGAAAAATGATTCAGGACATGCTGGGCATAGAACGGGAAAGAAAATTACAAGTGGAAGAAACAGAATGAACATGGGCAGGACCTACGAAAGAGTAGAAGAGGGAAACTAAAATATTTTGGATGTCTGCCTTATGCTGAGCACCATCCTGGACAAGTAATTTTAGTTTTAAAGGGCAAAGCATTTGAGGAATAGTAGGAAGTTTAAAGGGTCTAGTTCTTAGAATGTAAGGAGCTGAGATGAAAATGAAGAGATTGGTCTGGGTTGGATTTGGAAGCCCCTCATGTACCAAGTTAGCAAGATTGGTCTAACTTGGAGTTAGTTTTGCATGGTGATAAAACCATGTATGTTAGCCCCAGACTACAGTATATTTGAATTCAAGGTCCGCTACTTAATAGCTTTGTGACTCTGAGAAAGTTACTTATACCACCTAAGGGGTTTTCATTTGTGAGAGGATGATAACAGTGTTCACCTCAATGGCCCGGGGAATTAAAGGAGATAAATATTAATAAAGCATTTTAGCACAGTACCTCGTACATAGGAAGCACTCTTTAAATGGAAGCTACTATTATTATTATTTAGGATGGCAATAGAGACCCAAGAAATGTGTGTGTGTGTGTGTGTGTGTGTGTGTGTGTGTCCCATTCAGTAATTCTGACCAAGGTTACTGTGCATTGGCTGTTGAAACAGGCGGTAGTGAGAAATTTGGGACCTTGCTGCAGAGATGGAGAAATGATGGACTCAGATGGCGGGCAGTAAGAAGTAGAGATGGAGAGGGCATTATGTGAGGCATTTCTGAAGAGTGCCGAGTGGGTGTGAGGGGTTGGGTCAGGGTGGAAGGTACTGAGAAGGAGGAGTTAAAGTTGCCCTAAAGTCGGGGGCTTGCGGGAACTGACTGAGGAGAACACATATGATTAAGAGATGTTCAGGGGGAAGCTGGTGATTTGGGGAACAAGGGATAGAGATAGATTTGGAGACCATCAACAGACTGATGGTGGGTGAAACTGTGGGCAAGGAGGAGCCATTTCAGGAAAACACGTGAAATGAGAGGAGGAAAGTGAGAGGGCGAGGGGAAATTCCCCAGTTTATGGGCTGGGCAGTCTGAAAAGTCAGACAGCAGGAAGGTCAGAGAGAGAGAGAAGGAAGATTGGAGAGAGTGGTGTCATGGAAGCAAAAGAAAAACACATTTCAAGAAATCAGAGACTGTATTAGGATTACAGGAACATGACACACATGTTCACATATAGTAGCTCCATACAAGAAGCTTGCTGCTTTTTGTAAAAGTCCTGTTCAGCGCACATGTGTGCGTGCGTGTGGTGGGGTGATGCTCTGCTCCGGGAAGTTATTTAGGAACCCAGGTTGATGCAACCTTACTCTTTCTATCCTTACCTTTTGGGGTCACCTTAAGAGTAGATCCCCTTACCAGACAACCAGGGGAAGAAAAGAGCTTGGAGGAGCAAAAGGAGGCAAAACCCCTCAAGCATAGCACCGTGCCTGAGACTAGCACACGGCACTTCTGCTGGAGAGAACCCAATCACACAGCCACACCCAGCTGCACTGGTGACTGGGAAATGTGGTCTCACCAGGTATCCAGGAGGAAGAGGAAATGGATTTAGGAAACAGCAAGCAACAGTTGCCATGGGAAAGTTCAGACGTTTGGGATTGAAAGAAGGCTGAAGAATAATTGTGCAGTTTGGCAAATGGGTCACTGGTGACTTCCACAAGAATGTTTTGTCAGTGTCTGGAGGTGTTAGTGGAATGGCCAAGGATAGGGCTCTGCTGATCATAAGAAAAAAAAAACAAGCTGTTCTTCACACCCTTGTTCTTTCCAGGAATTACCAGGAGCTATCATCAGCCTGAATTCTAGTTACCTGGTCGCTGCAGAATAGAAAAACTAGTCACCATAATAAGGCCAAAGCTTTTTCTTTCTGCGGAAAGCCACAAAGCTTCGCGGTACTGCAGTCACGGTGGTGTTCCCAGAAACTGCAGCTTGACTCATGTAGAGTGCAGCGTCCCTCTGAATATCATGCAGGGCTGGCCGGGAGCAGGGTAGGGGGAGAGGCATCTGTTGCCTCAAGTACATGCAGTATGTGTGTGGACACGTATATGAGCATGGCTATTTTCCAGTGTTGTGTACCTAAAAATGACATTTGTACTCTGTCCCTCTTTGGAGAGTAAGGATCTATGACGTCGGGCAGCAAAGTTTAATTCTTAATTTGCTTGTGATCCAAGAGCTAAAATTGCACATATCATGAGGTAAGTCAATGAACAAAAATTGTCATAAGAAATGCCCTTGATTAGGCCTAACCGAAGAAAATAATCCGTATGTACCCCACCCCGCTCACCGCAATTCACATGCCAAACATATAAGGAAGACTTTTGGTGAGGGGTTAGCTAGTTGGTGAGAACTGTGCCCCCTCAAACACATGCACTCAATCACATATCCAGCCATGCAGCTCCCCACGGGGACTCCTCCCGGCAGGATATGTAACTAATGGACTGGATTCTTTCTTGCCAATTGAACACACATTTATAGAAAGCCTACTGAATCTCAAGAACCATTTTAGGCCCTCAGAATTGTTGTAAAACTCCCATTACACTCTTTTCCTTTCGGATCCTTGAAAGCTACATCGCTAAGTGTACTTTTACCTGTCACAGAGTCTGTTAGTTCCAAGGGTGAGTCTGGAAGAGATCGGGAAATATGTTCACCCAAAGGGATGACCACTGTTAGGTTTGCGACTTGCCGAACTCTGAAAGAAGAGCTAGGCTTTGCACGTGGGATGCAAGTTGTTGGTTTAGGCATTCTAAGGAACCCGGATCTTCCAAAATCTTCCTCTCATGTGTTTCCCTGAACGACAAGCGTAGCCAGGTCTTGAAGTCGCTGAGATGGTTGAGTCACTAATTTGGACTAAATTGGCCCCCAGACCTCTCCAGTATTTGAATTGTAACTCACAATTCTTAAAAAGTCAAATTCCTCCCAATCTGACACTAAGTTAAAAATTCAGCTAAATCATAGCTAAGTAGAGGAATGGTAGATGGAGAAGACATGTCCACTAAGAGATATTGTCTTCTGGTAGTTTAAAAAAAAAAAAAATCTATTGACATGAAGACCAGTGGGGCCTTGGAGGTGGTCTTAAGGAAGGAGGGTGATAAAACTGAAGTCCTGGAGGGAAGTTATTTCAGAGGCTGGGCAGGTAGAAGAAGTGAGAGGGAGGAAGTGGGAGACCCAGGACGGAGACGGCCCATTGCCAAAAGAGCTATGTATGTCTTTTTTGATGTCAAGACAGAAACACTTCAGTTTCTCCAAAAGAGCTTTTGGTATGCACAAGTCTTTTAAAATCATCTTGATTACAGCCTCCTCGTACACAAGCCCAGTTAACTTCCTTCCACCTGGCTGGCACCATCTTTCCCCATACAGAGTTGCACAGAGGTGCCTTGCATTTTCCCTGCATGAGTGAAATGGACTCTCAAAGACAAATGATATTTAATCTTCACTTTTTCTAGCACTTTACAAGTTTGAGGTTTTTCTACTAGAATGATTTAATATAGTTTTAAAATATCCTCCTTTTAGCTATTTGTGTCCTTTTTGGAGGTGTTAAACATGGAAGCAATTATCCTCTTCATGGCAGGATTTTTTTTCTTGGCTCAATAAAGCTTTGTGCTTTGTGACACCTGATGCGTAGGTAAGGAATTGGGCTTATTTTCTATTAATTTGCAGTGAGTTTCTTTCCCTTAGAGAGCTAAAGGGTAGGATGTATGCTTCTCTGAGAGATAAACCACAATCTGTTAAGTGTGTAGGAGGACACTAAAAGCTAGCAAAGATTATGTTCTAGCAAAGGAAAGTGTGAAAACTCTCTTGCATTACTCTATAACCATGGCAAATAAAAAGAAAAAGAAAAAAAAGCTGATTAAGTGGTTTCATGACAAGTAACCTAGAAAAGGACAGTCCTTTTGGTTGAATTAATTCTGTTAGTCTAAATTGGAATTGTTTTTAGCTTGTGTGAGGCACCATATTTTTAGTTGATGGGTCCATGAATTTGAAAGTCTCAGGTTCATACCAGTGTTCAGAAAGCTAGGGCACTGCCAACAGAGAAGATAAAATAAACTCTTTCATTTCATCCAGAGTGTCTAATGTGTGCCAAGGAAGAAAAATTTTTCACATTAAAAGAGAATAAGGGTTTTTTTTGTTGTTGTTGTTCTTCATAGAATGATGAGCACACCAGAGTAGATGGCTCGTGTTCTGCCAAAACTGTGGCAAAGGTTAATTGTCTTTGGGAACATAAAACATTTTATTCTATGTGAAACTGAGGCCAGAGCACATTAGAAAACTCAACTTCTTTCTTCATTTTCAGATTCTAGCAAGAAAATAGATCATTTAAAAATTGCGTAGCAGAACTGACACTCCCCAGAGATCAATAAATCTCATTCTAGGGCTGGAGGTGGTAGAGATGGCATGTCAGAAGTAGTTTTCAGAACCCAATGAGCCTTTGTGAAACATGGGAAACATTCACAGGTAGTTAAAGTTGATAAGAAAAAGTCAATTATCGCAACATCATAATAACTTTTAGAAAGCATTTTCTATGGGGCAGCTATTCTACTAAGTCCTTTGCAGATACTATCTGAGATATCTATCAATTACAGGAAATAGGTATGATGATCATCTCTATTTCAAGATGAGAAACTCAAGGTAGAGAGAGATTAAGTAATTTTATGAGGGGAATAGTGCTCATAAATAGGGAAGGAGAGGCACGGAGAGCACTTAGATTTGAATTCAGGAAATCCTGAGTCCCAAGGCTGTGGCCTCAACCACTATGCAACACTGCATTTGGGAATCCTTTTAGGATTAAGACCATTGGAGGAGCCAAAGTCTTACTGGCTTATGTTGGTGACAAAGACCATCTGTATAGGAAGAGATGAAATAGGTAAAATTTGCCTTTGGTTCTCATTAACTTTCTCTTTATCCCCCCTCAAGAATTCCCACTGCTTGTTCTAATCTCATTCCTTATTGCAAATCTACATTCCATTTCTGTAGGATTTTTTTTTCCCAGAAGGGATAACTGTTGGAAGTAGGTTATATTAGTTTTTAAAGGCTTAAGAATTCACTCCTTTATGGGGTCTTTGTATTTCAATAGGAAATTTTTAAGGAATAAAAAGTTTTCCAGACACATAGGGGCCATTTCTAAAGGTGATTTTTCAGTTTCCGATTCAGATAAATGGTGATGGTATTTTTCAGGTTGGGGACTCTGAGGCTCTCAAAGAACACTGTGGAAGGGAAGGTGACAGCCTTTTTGTCTCCTAGAAAGGTCTCTTATTGTAAAGAAATGGGAAGAGAGAGACTCGATGTCATGGGGATGGGGAAGGATCCAAAAAGGAGGAAATAATGAAGTGTTGAGTTCAAATTCCATCCCTGGCAGTTTCTAGCCGTGTGACTATGGGTAAATGACTGAAACTTTCCTATATAAAAGCGCTTAATAGAATTGTTAGGATTAAGTAAGAAAGACTGAAAAAGGCAGCAACTAACCTTATGCCGACAGTTCAGATGTTCTCAGCTATTGGTGATGTCCTCCCTGTCCCCTGCCATGCTGTCTCTTATAGTTGGGTGGTGTAACCAGAAAAGGAAATGGTGAAGATTGATGGAGGAGAACTGTCTAGAAAAAAAGAGTCTAAGCTGTGAAATACTTATTCTTTGATGTGCATCAATCTTGTTGCCTGTATTCACTCATTCATTCAATAGATACTTATTGCTTCTGCAATCCTCTTGGATTTTAAACTTAGACTCACTTGGATTAGCTCTACACAGCATTTAGAAATACGAATTTTGCAGAACCATGTCTTCATACATCTAAAATCTGTTACATCAGCCAACTTAGGGCATGAAGACATTGCTGGTGCCTTTCTCTTGATCCTTCTTCAGATGTAGTTTCCAAAGAGAACTTCAGAATGTTAAACAAATATCATTTCAGTTTTGCCTCATTATCCTGAAACACTCCGACCAGAAGGCCTTATTTAATCAACTGATCTACCACTAGCCACTAGCCATTGTTATCTTTGGTAGATGTACACATGTGGCTGGAAAAATAAAATATAGTCATTATTTACCTACTTCTAAACTCTGCAGCTCCTGAACTGACCACAACAACTTAAACCATATAGAAGATATAAACTATTGGGTTATTAAGAGCTGCCCTATATTTTAATTGAGGATCGAATTATATTCTTGTCCTTCAACTAAAACCATGTACAATATAGTGATGCCTGATGCCTGTGGCCCTTGAGTTATACACTAAACAAGCCAAGAAAGATATTAATCAGGCCTAACTTCATGACTGAAAAGAGATGACCTTAGTCATCCTGTCATGGCACAGTGTTACTTGGGGTTTGTACCCAACTGTGCCCTGAACATCCAGCCTCTCCAGCCTGCACAAATAAGTCTATTTTTATATAAGTGATGTTAATTCCTGAATTTTCCTGTCCTTGTAGTTCTCTCATTACAAAACTGTTGAATCTCTCCAGTCAAACTCTCCTACCTCCTGACAGTCTGGAGGTCGGCCTCACATGTGTTTAGGGAGAAGTTTGCACCCATTGGGAACCACTATTGCTTCACAGGACCTGCTCAGCATTGGCTGTGCTTGTTTGGGAAGCATCATTCTTTGGGAAGAATGATGCAGAACACTGTATTCTGGCATTTCGAAGTGTGTCTTCCAGTGCCGTGTTCTGTTCAAGCTTTACCGAACTGCAGAGCTACAGTGTGTTCCACATAGAAAAAGAGAGAATCTTCCCTTCACTTACTCTGCTCTCCACCTGTCCCAGGTCCTGAGCTAGAACTGCCTGGTACACAAGTAAATATCTTCTTCAGATTATAGCTATCACTCCTTCACCTTCCCCCTTTGCCTACTGTTGTCAGGAATTGCAGGAGAGCTATATCATCCCCTCCATTTTTGCCAACTCTGCCCTCTCTCCCCCAGGTCCCCATGAACCAACTTTGTCCCTTCTCCTTCGGCCCAAACCAAAAGTTATGGGTACTTACTTAGGCAGCTCTGTGCCCTGTGGGTCCTGCTTCATCATCCCAGTTTCTATTTAGATGGAGCCAGGTCCACAGTGCCACCCATTCAGGAAGTTGTCTGGTTTCAGTGCGCTCATGACCACAAGAGAACTGAGGGTCTGATGATAATTGGAGCCATCAGCCTGTAGATGATCAACATGAGGACTAACTCTCCCCCATCCCATAAAGGCAGTCAAACAGCAGAACTGTTCTGGAGGAGCTTACGAATCGGCATGATTATCTGTTGAGTAAAGGAGAGCTCAAAAAATGCAAAGTATTTGGCCTAGAAGTCACCTGTACATGGATCTGAGAAGAAGGTATTCATTTCTGTGGGTTTCAACCCAACAAGGTTTAGTCTCTCACCTTCAGTTCTCCTAGGGCTGGAGAAAGGCAGGGAGTCATGGAATCCAAAGAGAAAGGCACACCATCCTCACCCCTGGGACTTCAGAGGAGACAGAGAGACAGCAAACATGGGCAGTGAGGCAGTTCTTTGTTCAAACCGTGCACCATGTTTTAATGACCAGGATCCTTAGAGCTAGGTATCAGTAAGAAGACACTATTTTGTTTATGACCTCATCCCCTTATGTTTTTACTTAAAACAGGACCTCCAGTTATTCATTCTGGAATCAAAGACCTCAAGGTCTTGAAAACAACCCAGTCTGGATTTGAAGGATTCATCAAGGACCAGTTCACCACCCTCCCTGAGGTGAAGGACCGGTGTTTTGCCACCCAAGTGTACTGTAAATGGCGCTATCACCAATATAGAGACATGGATTTTGATGCTACCTGGTATGAGCATATGCTAGGGTCTGGTGCTGGCTCTTCTCTCTTCCCAGGGGCCCCAAGGTCATAGACTCTTCATCTGAAAGGGAAACTTAGAGGTCATCCAATTCAACCTTCCCACTGTTTAGGGTCTCTTCTGTTGGATAACAGAAAGATCATGCTCTTGATTTGAATTAGTAAATCTGCACTGAAATCCTAGGTGCTATTAGGTAAAATGACCTTAAATGGACCAGCTAATATCCATCCTATGTTTTTTAATTGATTACATCAGTAGTTCTCAAACATTATTGTGTATCAGAGTCACCTGAAGGGCTTGTTAGATTGCAGATTACTGGACCCACCTCCAGAGGTTCTGATTCTGTAGGTCTGGGGTGGGGCCTGTGACCTTGCATTTCTAGTAAGCTCCCAGCTGAGGCTGTTGCTGCTGACCCAGGAACCACACTTCAAGAATCACTGTATCAAGCTAGGATAATGATATTTGGTTTTACTCCCTCAGAGTAGATGCAGAGAGGGCTACATGAGGATGACAAACTAACCTCAGTTTGCCAAGGACTTTTCTGATTTTGATACTGAAAAGTCCCATGTCCCAGGAAACCCCTTGGTCACAGGCAAACTGGGACTGTTGGTCACTGTAGGCTAACTCAAAATGAGATGATATTCACAGAAGCAATTTATAAATGATAAATGCCTTAACAATGTAAAGGTGTGGTTATTATTATAATATCCCTGACAAGCAGTAATTAGGCTTCTGGACTCTGAATTTGCTTTTTGACCAGGCATTCCTCTGCTGAATTTCTAATTGTTAGAAATGTTACTTTCTGACAGGCTGGAATCTACCCCCTGGTAACTTCCTCCCACTGGCATAGTTTTGCTCTACTCCTTTTATTATGGGATGGGTTTGAAAAGGCTTACAGAGAACCTCATCTCAATCTTCTTTTTCCTTTTTTAAGTGTTCTCCACTGGCAGGAGGCTGATGTATTTATGTTGGAAAGAACACAAAATTGAACATGGCAGAATCAGGGTCTTAGTTGGGTCTCCTATTAAGGAAAGAGACTTAGTGTGGATCATTTAATTTTAAGACTGCTCATGTCTAAATTGGGAATAATAATAATACCTGTCTCAAGTATATTGAGAGCATTCGATGAATTAATTAGGTAAAATCCTTAACACCAAGCCTGGCACAGAATAAAACCCCAAAAAAACAATAACGCAAAGAACTGGCCAAGCAAAGCAGTAAGAGTGTAGCATACTTGTAAGTCCTTTTCATGGGTTCTTCAAATGGGAGGAAGATTTACTCTGTAATGTCCAGTGAGCCCTAGTTCCAGATGATGAAGATTGCCTAGTGACAATACCTTTGTTGAATGGGGTGTGTGTGTATATGTGTGTGTGCATAGGGAAATTGGAAGTGAGGTGTTTTCGGGAGTAAGGCATTACAGGATATTAATCTCTTCTAAAATCAGCAGTAAAATTGTTTTCTGGAAGAACAGAAGGTCACCACTTCCCAACTTTATAGTGCATTCCTAAAAGACCACCTTATGAGTCCTCAGGTCTCTCTTCTGTGTTTTAGGGATACTGTTCGGGACATTGTCCTGGAGAAATTTGCTGGACCCTATGACAAAGGCGAGTACTCCCCCTCTGTCCAGAAGACCCTCTATGACATCCAGGTGCACTCTTTGAGCCAGGTTCCTGAGGTATGTTTTGTCACTTGCCATCTTGAAGACTAAGAGAATGTGTTGTGTCTCCTGTCAGCTCTGACAGAGAGTTGAGAGTTAAAATAAGACAGTGGAAGACACATGAAAAATGACATCTGTTGTTGTTCAAAAGCTTGTTATAGCAAGTGAGAAGAGAGCAAAAAATGGAAAAATCTGTCCAACCTGAAAACATGGGCCACTGTTATAGTTCTTTAGGTTTGTTGAAAATTCTGTGGGTCTTTCCAACCTGCCACAACTTAAGCCTCATATCAGGACGCTCAATGCCCTGAAGGAGGAATAATTAGGCCAAGGGTCTGTGTTTCAGGGTAGACAGGGAATGAAGGATAGATGCAGACAGATTCCATCCATCCATCTGATGTTATTAGATGGTTATTATATCTCTGTCAACACATGAAGAATACAAAGATAAATTAGACAGGGTGCCTACCCTCAAAGAGGTCATCACTGAGTAAGAGGAAAAAAAGAAATAAGTAAACTAATGATGCAGTAGAGGATAGAGCATAATGGAAGTACAGGGAAAGGTGTCTAACTCAGGAATGGGACATAGGGCCAGCCAGGCTTTCTGAGGGTGAGGGGCTTGGGTTTAGTCTTAAAGGACAAATAGGGATTATCTGGGTTCACACTCAAGGGTGAGGGAGCGTGGTAAGTATAGAGACCAGATGGCATCATAGAACTGTCATTTACTATTGAGGATCTGCTATATGTGAAGCTCCATGAGTGAAAATCTTTCCATGTGCAAGGGGTGAGGCAGGAACCAGATCAGGAGGATCTCTGTGGGCTTGTTTATAGTCTGCACTTTAACTTTAAAGCTCTTAGCAGCCACGAAGGGGTTGAACCAAGGTGTGGCACTACTGGATTTGCCCTCTAGAAAGATCGCTCTTAAAAAAAGGGTGACAAATTAAAAGGATAATGGATTACAGACAAGGAGACCTTTTGGAGGCTGTTGGGAAGCAGAAATCTGTCAAGAAGGGCCTGAATTTAGTTCCATGGTGGGATGGAGAGGACGAGTACCATCCTTCAACTTGGGCAAGAGGGATGCCTGCCATGGTCCAGCACTTTCCAGGCCTTTCTCTGGTTATGCCTCTTTCCACTGGAAGAAGAGTCAGTGGGACCAAAGCAACAAACTCTTCAGGGACCCACACATCCCTTTCTAGATCATTCTCTGGATACTTGCACCCCAGAATTAACTGCCCAAATAACCTGAGACTACTTTTAGAAACTGTGTGAACCTCCTTCTCAGACCCATCCTCTGGAGGCTGATGATGCCATCAGTGCATACACCATTAGGCCTGAGAGTAGGTGAAGGGAAGGGTGTCCACCCACGTGAGTCCAAGAGAGAAGGTGCGATGGGCCTGGGGTCATCACATCCTGGGATGGTACTGCAAGCAGTCAGAGATTTCTAAATTACATCCTGGTCTTCCAGGTTGTTATGAAGGTATATTTGTCAAGTTGGAAGGATAGACAATAGTTCACTTAAAAGTTTCCTGCTTGATTCATAACTTTATTTTTTTATTTTATTTTTTTTTAACATCTGGTATGTGGGCCTCCAATTGTATTCTGACCCCAGGGCCTGAAAATGTTTGGGACAGGCCTGGAGAGGAGGAACTTGACTGAGGAAGAGTTTAAGAGGTTGACTGGCCAGCACCAGGAGGCCAGGTGGATACCGTAGATCGCACAGGTTTCTGACCCAAGGACCTCTTACTTTTCTGAGAACAGATTTTGTACTTGGAGGGGAAAAGGGGGGGGGGTCCACCATCTAATAATAGGACTCTCAGGAGACAGCTGGGTCAAGCAGTGGAGGACCACCAGAGGGTGTCTCAGGGACAGAGGTGGAACTTGAGTAATGGAGCGCAAGGCAGGTGGGTTGCAGGGGAGAAGTGATAGAGGGAGAGAGCTTTACCGTTGCCCAATGTAATCCATATTACTTCGGCTTCCAGATAGAAGACATGGAAATTAGCCTGCCCAACATGCACTACTTTAACATAGACATGTCCAAAATGGGACTGATCAACAAGGAAGAGGTAAGAGAACTTTAAAAATATTTAAAGTACATCCACCCTCCTGCCCCCACACCCTTACTTGTCTTTATAAATTTGGGATGATAACATCACCAAGCAAAACTCTTCACAGCTGTTGCTTTTGGAGTATTTATAGTTGCCACTGATTAAAGTCCTCTTAGACTCCAGGCCTTTCGGTACCTGAGGCTGGAGTACCCTAGAAGTGGATGAGTGATTGTGGAGGAGGGCTGGAGGCTGCGGGGAGTCAAAGAAAAGGAAAGCACAGAGTGTGCCAGAGGAGACAGCTCTGAGATCTGCTTCTCTGAAAAGTGCCACCCAAGGTCACGGCTTCATTATTCTTCCATGATGAGGCGATGAGGAGGAGAAGAAAAAGATTCTATTTTCATTTTCCTTCAACGTCTTTAACTTTGGATTCAGTCATCAACTTAAGTAGCATATAAACAGAAAATGTCCACAGAAAAATGAAAGAGTATTTGTGTTTCCAGTGGCAATTCTAGAAAGCGAGATGAGGAAGTGCACTTTTTGAAAGGAAACCTTGTTTTGGGAAAAACACTTACGTGGAGTTGTTTGAAGCCATGACAGAAGGTTAAACTAAGTGGGAGTGTCTGACTCGACAGCCTGAAGTGGTGGGGCCTTGGAAATTACAACTGTCCTTCCCCTCTCGAACCACTTGCAGAATGGTAGGATCTCTCTGTTTGATCCATCCTCTCACGGACTTCTAGAATTTGAAAAACATCATCTTGATGGCTTCTTTTAGTGTGTAGGTGAGGAGGGAGGGGCCATCTATCAACGTGGCTCCGCGACCATAGAATTCTGGGCCTGCTGACCTCGGAGTCTTCTTCTTAGCCACAGTCCTCTGACCACTCACCTTGTGTCTGTTCTGCAGATAATATTACTGGGCTCCATGGGGGCTCTGCACCACTACATCTGTAGGTGGGGTTTGGGGAACAGCACTGGGAAGAGAAGTCATGCTTAGATGCCTGGCATAGCTGCTCAAGAACTCTGTGTGGCAGAGGAGAGCAACTTTGACCCCCAGGTACAGTTCACTCAGCTGAGCAGGGAGGCAGCGTTGTTGACTGCGATGGAAGGAAAGCATGGTGATTACCAGAACCCCACTAATTAGAGTAGAAAGCCTTTTAAAACAATTACCTTCTAAAAAGCACAAGAGGGACCCGAAAGTAATCCTGGCCATGTCCGCCAAAGCTAAAACAAAGGACCCCAAACAGAAAAGGGTCAAGCGTCGTGAATGGGACAGTGCTCAGCCCAGGAAGCTAGAAGAGAAAGGTCGTCTCCTCAGGGCCCCCAGACATCTCTGGCCTGCACCGATCCGAGCTCAAAGACTTGTTGCTGGCTTGCCAGTTGTGTCTCTCTATCCAAGAAGTCAGACTGGCAGCTTCCTTAGCTCCCACCTGAAGAACAGGAAGGGACCCCGAGGCAGAAAGCCCAGCTCCTTCAGGCCAGGGCTCTGCGTGAAGACACCTGAGAGGCTGGACAAGTTGTCCCGGGTCCGTGTCTGCACTTTGGGGCTAGCCAGAGCTGCTCTCGGGCCCCCACCCAGCACGTGGCTACAAAGCGAAGGCAACACATGAAAAGCGGGGAGTTAGGACACACCGACAACAGCAGAGGAGTGACAAATGACAGGGTGGGAAGACAGAACCACTCTAAACTCACAGCTTTCTGGAGCCATTTAGTATTGGGTTAACAGCCCCGAGGACCTCAAATGTTCCTGAGGGCATGACAGTATTTTAGCATTGGACAATGACTAATGTTCAAAGTGAATCATCAAGCAAAGGCCAAATTACGTTCAGAACATTCTATTGAAAAAACAGGGATATATAATGCATTTGAGAAACATTCATTGCCCAATGATTAAAATTTTTCAAAAACTTTTCTAGAAAAGTTTTCTACAAAATTTTCTAGAAAATAAGGCATTGCTATACATGAAATAACTGTATGACTGTAGGGCATATACATTTTCCTGTTTATCGAGTTGTGGTTTTTATTGTTGATTCACGGAAAAAAAAGGAGAGGTCTATTGTAATGCCTCTGAAGTTGCCATGTGGTTTTTCTACAGGTCTTGCTACCCTTAGACAATCCATATGGCAGAATTACTGGGACGGTCAAGAAGAAGCTGGCTTCGAAGCTGTGACATTGTAGCCACCTCTCAACTGAGGAATTCCTTCAGCCTCTTGTGATGCTAGAAATCATAGCATGTAGCCATGCAAATTTTCAAACTGGAGTGTTGACTTATAGTGTTAATTTTCCTCCTGTAGGAAAGAATTCTTCTACAACTAGCTCAGCAAGGTGTTTTGTGATTAATAATTACAACACACTTGGTGGATACAGTTTACTTCACAAATGTTAAGCCGTATGAGAATAGTCATAAATCAATATTTCCTTTTGGTTTTCTTGTGCCTTCCTATCTTAGAGAAATTTTAGAATCAATGTACTAAGAAAACAATAATGAATTAATGGATGTGTCTTATCAATTAATCTGTGCACAAATTTAAGAGTAAGCATTGTTTTCAACCTACTGATGCTAACACTTTGCTCTAGGCAATGCAGAAAATGTAATGATGAAATCATATTTGGAAACTATCACCATCATGGCTTCAATGAGACTGAAGTATTTGAATTTCTAAGAATGTTCCAGTGTATATATCACTGGGAGTTTATTTCTACTCTTAAAGTATTTTTGTAATCCTAATGTATTGGTTTTAGGACTTTTACAACTCTTTGAGAATATTTAGTAGACACTGAAAAAAAGTACATCTTGTTTTTCTTTGAATAATGTATCACTTTGGGAAAAAGAGCACATTTAATAAATGCTAAGTCACTATACCAAACAATGAATATCCACAGAGAAAGAAGACGAGAGATTCTCTATAAATATATCAGTGATGGTGTTGCCTGGGTGGCTCAGCTGGGTGAGTGGCCAACTCTTGGTTTCAGCTCTGGTCATGGTCTTGGGGTCTGAGACTGAGTCCTGCATCAGGTTCTGTGCTTGATGGGGACTGTGCTTCCGTATTCTCTCTCTCCCTCGGCCCCTCCCCCCTGTTCGCTTGCTCTCTCTCTTACTCACTCACTCTCTCTCACTGTCAAATAAATAAATACATCTTTAAAAAATATCAGTGATGATGATTTCTAGATGGTGGGATTAGGAGTAATTTTTTTTTTTACCATGTGCTTTTCTGGATCTCCCAAATATAATAATCAGAGAAATAAATGTAATTAATGATTTAAAAGTGTATACAGATTTGACTGGTGATTGTGTCAGTTGACTAATACTACTATTGTATATAGATATGTACCATAAGGCTTCATAAACTGTGATTTTAGAAGCCCCTGATGAAAACCTGTCCACATGAACATTCTAGATAACCTTCCTCTATTTAAAAAAATCTCCATTTATCAAGTTTTAAAAATCTCCATTTTTTATAATGGTTACATATGAGTACTTAGCATTGTTTGAGAACTCTGCTTCAGTCCCCCGGTTCTAGTACTGTAACTTAAGCTAGCACGGCGTAGTGTTTCATTTAAAAAAACTCACTTCACTCCTGGATCCACCTCTTACAAGTTCTACGACGAACATCCTCCTCTGTAAATTAGAGGTGAGAATAGAATCTCAGAGGTTTTTTTGAGGATAAAACGGGATAATGTCTGTAAAGTGCTGTGATTCATATTTATGCCCGACACACAGAAATTTCTATATGTGTTTATTAAATGATGTTAATGTTAAATATTTGCCTTCTTTTCATGTGATGTTAGATCCAAGTAGGAATGGTGATTGGACTTTGTGAGGGAGATGAGAGATGGGAAGTCTGAGAGCAGCGAGCCCTAGGAGATGCTGGAGGCCATGCACAGGCTCCTGCCTGCTGGGAAAGAACATGAGATAAGAAGGAAGAAATAATTTGATAAGGGAAAGTTTCGTGCCACATTGAATACTCATGTTACAGAATGTGCTTACAGCCTGTCACTTGCATGGCCAAATAGCTGGTACATTTCATTCCTGTGCTGATTTGATGATCCAGTTCGAAGAGCAATTTAGAGTTTAACATGATTTTTTTCTAAAAACAAACAACAAACAAAAAACGCAATCAGGCCCTTCTTACTAGATATTATATTGGTCATGTAAGTTTTAGAAACACTGTAGTTGCTTCAGAGAAGAAATCCATATTAGAGCAGAATCCTTAGAAACTGGGGTCCACTGTGTACTCACATGCATTTTGTTTCTCCTGAGCTCTTAAAACATTTATCGTAATGGACCGCACATGAACAATTGGATGTTATGTCCCAGGTGCGGGACTGGAAAGCCTGTCCTCTGTGAAATTTTCAAGGACCAGATTCCTATTTTGGAAAGAATGTTTTCTTGTGGTTAAAATTGTAAACTATGTGGTGAAAACCAGGCTGGGGGTTTCACCTGGTTTTATAAGTGCTGTGAACTGTAAACACCTGTGAGCTCATTTGTATCAAAACACTTGGTAATTTCGTTACAAAGGGCTACGGGGACTTTGTTCCAATTTTTCTGGAAAGCTGACTTGCTACATAGCGCCCTCCCTGCCTTTTCCCCATCCCTCCCCCAACCCTGTGTCAAGTATTGTCTGGGCATAAGGCAGGTGACCCCAGCCCATTTTCTGCCTGGGAAGCAGTTTGCAAGGCCCTCAAGGGAGCAGCTGTCATTCACAGGCTTGTGGTTTTGGAGGCAAAATTCGAAGACTTGGCTGAAATCCTCTAAATTTCATTCCCTAACTTTTCACAGAAACAGGCTCAGAAAATGTGTTCCATTTTTTCTCCTTTTTAGAGTCAGACTTAAGTTCATACCATTCTTCACCTTTCAGTAACCTGCTTTTTCTCCTTTTGTTCTCAGCATAATAGAAACCACTCTTTGGAAATAGTGTTTTTCTTGTTTGTTATTGAAACAGACTTTACCTTTTTCAATCACATGCGAGATTTAACTACAGAAATCAGAACTTCTCTCTAAACTCCCAGCTCTCTTGCGGAAGGACATTTTTTTTTTCTCTCTCTCTCTTCAGACTTGGGACAGACTGGGCTTTGCCTTTTGTAGTCTCCTTTGCAAAACCTTTTAACTTCTGCTTCCTCGCCTGCATTTCAAGAGGAAACCAAGGCTTCTTTCTAAAGACATGGATTTCAAGCCTTCTGACTCACTGGGTTCTTCCTGCTGCTAAATATTAGAAACTTATTCTCTTTGTATTTTCTATAGTCTTTGTTCTCATTTCTCTCAGAGCTCAGCTACTTTTTATTCTTCCATTGGCCCGGAATCTCTCAGGAATTCTGTAAGTTTTTGGATTCTGTGGCTATCCTAGTGAGAAGGAATGTCTAAGGACCTTCCTCCCAGCAAAAACGCTCATTCCCGCCTCTACAGGTTTACAACATCCATCGTGGAAGTAGTTCACTCTCAATCCTTAAAGTGTGAAGAATTCCATTGGAAATCTGTCACATAAGGAATATGTTCAACCAAACTTGGAAGAAAGGCATGCTGATTTCTTTATATAAGAAAGGGAAATAAGTGTTTTCAAACACTAATGATGTACTATACCTTGGGTAATTAATTTAAATTAAAAAATAATTTAAAAAAACAACTTCAATTGGGTTTTGTGGGTATACCTTGGAGAAACTGCAGGTTCAGTTCTGTACCACTGTAATAAAACAAATTTTGCCAAATAAGTAAGTAAATAAATAAATAAAATTGAAGGACCCCAGGTATATTTGCTTCTTGAGGCTGCTCTAAAAAAGTAACACAAGCTTGGGGGTAGATAACAACAGAAATGTATTCCTTCATTGTTCTGGAGGCCAGAAGCCCAAAGTCATGGTGTTGGTAGGATTGTGCCTGCTTTAAAGGTATAGAGGGGATTCTGTCCTTGGTCTTACAGCTTTCTTCGGTTTCTTGGCTTGTGGCTGTACTACTCTGGTCTCCCACGGTCACATTGCCTCTTCTGTCATCTCCTCTTGGATTTAGGGCCCACCCAAATAACCCGAGGTAGTTTCTTTATCTCAAGATCCTTAACAGTATCTACAAAAACCTTTTTCCCACATAAGGTCACAATTACAGGTTCCAAAAAATAAGGCAGGAACATAGGATTTGGCAAGGAGGGGTACAACTCAACCCAGACAGTGAGTCAGGGGACAGTGAGCTTCTTGAGAACAGCTCTTCTAGTGCCTATTGGATCTTCTGCTGCACATAGGCTACTGTTTCCTTCGTATCTGGGGGACAGTCACATCCCCCTTTCAGCCTGATCAGTTGTCACATGGATGTCTGTAAAAGGGCAAAGAGCATGGACTTTGGATCTAGATTATGCAAAGTTTCAGATTGGGCTTCTTCAGTTTCTAGCTGTGTGACCTTGGGCAAGTAACCCTAAACTTTAGTTCTATAGTTTTGAAATAAGTATAATAAAAATAACTACCTTACAGAGTAACTGAGGATTAGCTGAGATAACGCATGCAGGGGTTAAAATATTTTTGGTTGTGAGCATCTTCAACTGGAAGGACATCTTGTTTACTTAAACAGTTCAGAGATAGGTTGTCTCGGGATTGATCTGGCCACTCAGGGATAGCTTCGTGGTCTCTGGCTCATTCCATCCTCTGCTCTGCTGTCCTCATAGTGTGTTAATGTTTCCCCTGGGCTCACAAAATGGCTAGTAAAGCTGTTGTTACAGATGGTGTGCATCACCCAAATCTCCCTTGGGACCAAAGTACTCAGATGTCAGAAGTGTTGGTCTCTGCAGGCTTATCATTGGGTCCCTCTGGAGGAATTGCCCTTGGCTAAAAGAAGCTGCCTCACCCCAACTTATACCCAGCTCCTGCGAGCAGCTCACGTCCATTGCTGGTCAGTGTAAGAGATACAAAGTCTCAACCTTCTTGCCTCATTCGGGACAACTCTGCAGGGACACTCCAGTCCCAGAGCTCCTAACTGCCTGAGGTCGTTGTTGAAACTGTGTCATAATCCAACTTCTCCCTCTGCCTAGTCCTGCTTCCTTCGCTGCTCACAGGCGTTGTTCCAGAGAATGATCCTTAATAAACCTGCATGAAAATCTCGGGGTCTCACTGTACCTCTCTTAAGGAAGCCAACCTGTGGATCTAGGAGTGTGTCTGGGAAGGAGGCTCTAAAATGGGGTTGTGGGAGCTGAACCGCCCACTGTCCAGCTGGCGATGAGCTCCTGGAATGCTGTAATTCTGGGATTGTTAAAACTATCACCTGAGGTGAATTGGGATGGGATACTGGAGGAAAGGAACACTCTGGCAGTGGCAATATCTTGGATGCTTGAAGGATTGGGGGTAATAATTATTATAAGGATGATGGAATTTGTTTAGGTATTGCTAGGAACCATTAATACATTAAGAAAGACAATGGGGGAGCCTGGGTGGCTCAGCGGGTTAAAGTCTCTGCCTTCAGCTCAGGTCATGATCCCAGGGTCCTGGGATGGAGCCCCGCATCGGGCTCTCTGCTCAGTGGGGAGCCTGCTTCCCGCCCCCTCTCTCTCTGCCTGCCTCTCTGCCTACTTGTGATCTATGTCTGTCAAATAAATAAATAAAATCTTAAAAAAAAAAAAAGAAAAAGACAATGAAAAGATGAGGATGATTAACCA